CAATTTTGTATCATAACTGGCCGATAAGTTTACATACCTCTAGTCTTTGGCAAAAAGAGCCAATTTTCAAATCCATAACTGTATGCTTTTGATAAACAAGACAAAAGCTTTGATAGAACATATAACAGTACATAAATACATAAAATACATAAATATTAATATTAAATACATAAAAATAATTAAAAATAAAAACAAAAATAAAAATTTAGATGTTTTTCTTTTGTTTATACCAATTTTGGAATGGATTTGAAGGAAAGAATTTTTCAAACCATTTTTTGCTTTTTCCTAAAATAAAATAATCACATTTTTTAAAGAAGTGAATTTTGTGAAATATCTTCGATTCATTCAAATTTTCATCTCTTTCACTCTTCCTCTCTTCTTTTCTTTTTAATCTTTTCTTCTATCTTATACTGATGGTATTTTTTTTTTCAAAATATTTCACATTTATTCTCTTTTTAGATTTTTAGGTCTATTGCCAAATGTCCTCTTCTTCTTCCTTTTTTCTTTGAAGAATCGTTTCCAATTACTGTAGTTTGAGAGTGTTTTTATCCATTTTATTATAAATTGTAATTAATAGAATTGATAAAATTTATTAATTAAAAATTATTAAGATTTAATTTCTATTTAATTGAAGTAAAATTGCTATTTATTAATTGGAAATTATTAAAATTTAATTTCTATTTAATCGAAGCGAAATTGCTATTTATTAATTAAAATTATTAAAATTTAATTTCCATTTAATCGAAGTAGAATTGTTATTTATTAATTGAAATTATTAAAATTTAATTTCTATTTAATCGAAATAAAATTGTTATTTGTTAATTAAAATTGTTAGAATTTAATTTCCATTTATTCATTAATAAAATTGCTTTCTTTTATTTTTCATTTATTGAATTTTAATTTTCGTTCCTTTTTTTTTCGCATAATTTTTAAGCATAAATTAAATTTTTTTAAAAATGAAAAAACAAATTATATTTGAGGTATATTATGAAATATCATTTGCAATTAATTTTCCAAATTAATTATTCTCATTTATTTATCATTCATATCATTTCTTTATTTATCATTCAAAAAAGATAAATTCAAATAATCAGAATTAAATCATAATCATTGAAGTATAATTCTTTTTTTTGGATAGATTTGTTGAAAAGAAAAAAATTATTTCAATAAATTCTTTAAAATTCATTAATTATATTTTAGGAAGAGAAGGAAAAAGAAAATGAGCGAAAGAATGGTAATATTATATTACACACATAAATAGCATAATTTATTCATGAAATAAAATAATCAAATGTGATATTTTACTACACCTTAACAAGCTTCCTATAAATGAAAACATTCGTAAGCAAAATCTATAATGTATGAAATTTAATTAGGCAGGAAAAGCATTACTTTAACAAACTCTTTTTCTCTCGCACTTTCTCTCTCTCTCTCTCTCTCTTTCTCATTTGATAATGAGTATTTCTTGTCATGGAAACGAAAGATAATCTCTTATAGATGAAAGAATTTATTCTTCAAAAGTACGCAACAATTCAAGCATGATATGTGTTTTGAATTAAAGTCTATTTATAATTGATATTGTTTTATGATATTATTATTTTTATGAATGAAATCTCTTTCCCTCTCTCTCTCTCTCTCTCTCTCTCTCTTTCCTTATTTGGCTAATCTTTCGTGAATAATAAATATTACGAAAATTTTTTATTATACCTATAATGAATATGAATGTAAAGGTAAAATAATAATAATAACATTTTAAAGGTTTATCATTTAAATGATATAATTTACGAATTATTATTTCATTGATATCATTTAACAGTTTTTCTTGAGGAATATAATATCTAAGCTTATTAATTATTAATTGTATTAATTTATTAATTGATTGATTATTGATTTTGATGTTTGATAAAAATTTGATCATAATATTATGATTATGAATATCAAACAATCATGATTTTTTTTTTTATTTGATGTAATTGAAGAAATAACAATCATGGAGCATATGATATCAAAAATGCGTCGATGTTCATCATCAACATCAATGGATAGTCGAATAGGTGAGCCATTAACGGAAATTGAACTTCGAAAACGATCGATAATAACACCTGATGATGTATTACGTCTCAATAAAATAACCGATGGTTTGTTTATTTTTTATATTCTTACTAAAATTGTAGTAGTTAAAAATGAAATTAGATTAAAGTAGAAGTAATTTTTACTATTTTCTTCTTATTTATTTCTGTAAACATTCTTTGAAATGAAGTTAAATGTTTTTGTAAAATGACAAAATGATATAACAATGATAATTGATAGTATCAATGATATATAATATCAATGACATAACAATGATAATTGATAGTATCAGTATGTTATTTGAAATAAAGTCAAATGCTTGTAAAAGAATATTTGAAATGAAGATTAAATGCTCGTGTAAAATGATAAAATGAACGAATCATATAACAATGATAATTGATAGTATCCGTATACATTTATTTCCTAGCAAATATGAAAATTAAAAATTTAAAACAGAGAAAACAATGTTCATAATTTCCACTGACATGACATGACTGCTTCATGATTGAATGAATGTTTATTTAATAGTTAAAAGGATAAGTTTGCTTCAAAAAGAAAAACGAATTATTAAGCTATTTTTAATTTCTAATTTTACTAGTTCCTTCCTTCCCACTGAATCTTTTTTGTTTATTTGATTCTAAATTTTTGGATTCTAAATTTATTATTCTATGTTGCCTTTTTTGCAGATTATTTATGTGAACCGGATGCGAACATTTATGATATCGAATTTACAAGGTTTAAAATTCGTGATTTAGACACGGATCAGGTTTTATTTGAGATCGCTAAACCTGCTGCAGGTAAATTAACGCTTTTTTCCCCTTATCAAATACATTAATTCATTGCAAAATGTGTTGATGCAATTCCACACATGATTTCGTTTCATTTCATTGCATCTTTTTTCATATTTCATGAATGAATATCAATTGCATTATTATGAAATAATTCTTTCAAGCCCTCATTAATCATTTATTATTTATATATGTTATTTTGAAATTAGTTAAACTTTTTCCAGAAGAGCTCGACACTGATGATTTAAATTTTGAGAAATGTAATGATGCAAATGGTGCTCGTTTTGTTCGTTATCAATTCACTCCTGCATTCCTACTTCTAAAACACGTCGGTGCAACGTAAGTCATATTCATATTTACGTTATGAGTGAAGGGATTTTCTGATTTTCCTCTTAATCCTTCCGAAAAAGCGCAAATGGAAGAATCAGATTTGTGATGAATTACTCCAGCTATGACATTTGTAATTTTTTCAAATGGGATTTTTTCACACCTTGGCTCTCATTTTATTTTTTAAAAATCCAGTAAATTTCAAAGATTTCCTGAAATTATTTAATTTTAAGTATTTGTAAATTTCAATTTTTAATATATATAATTTTTTTTTTTTCAGTGCTGAATTCAATGTTGGAGATAAACCGGTGAATAAATTTCGTATGATTGAACGACACTTCTTCCGCGATCGTTTATTAAAAAGTTTTGATTTCGAATTTGGCTTCTGCATTCCAAATAGTCAAAATACATGTGAACATATTTACGATTTTCCACAACTTCCTCAGTCATTAAGTAAGTTTCTCAACAATAAATGAAATATTTTTTCTTTTTATAATATTTTCTTTTTTCTTCATTTATAGGATAATTCAATAAAAGCAAAATTATCTTTATCAATCATACTATATATTAATCGTAGCACAAAATTATCTTTATCAATCATATTATATATTAATTATAGCATTTGTTTAGTTAGTTTATGAATTAGATGGTATTTGGATGTTTTATTGTTTTTGCTCATTTTTTAAATACATTCTAAAGGTTTGCCAAATATGGAAAACTAAATAAATGCTATGAATTAATAGATGAAGAAAAAGTTTTTTAAAGTATGTCCTTTTTTTCGATAATCAATAAACAATATAATCGTTCAAGTTGGATGGATGATGGTTTTCTTTTGGTAAAAAAGCATTGATTTAAGCTATTTTGCTTACATATTTATTTTAAAGCTTTTTCCTTTTTCTCTTCTCTTTCATCAAGTTTTATTATCCTATAGAGAAAGTTGTTAATACTTGATAAGGTAATAATAAAATTATTTCAGCTACTCAATGTTAACAATTAAATGAACTCTTTTAATTATACACCAACTTATCAACGAAATAATGCTTTATTGTAATTTTAATCATTTAGGAAGTGATATATGAATGAAAATCATTTAGGAAGTGATATATGAATATATATGAATGAAAACAAGAATGCCAATTATCAGATAATTCTCTTTCATTAATTAAAGTCTTAATTGGTATATAATTTGATAGATTAAATTAAATTTTAACGAATCATTTCAGTAGATGAAATGATTTCAAATCCATACGAAACACGTTCCGACAGTTTTTATTTTGTGGAAGATCGTCTAATAATGCATAACAAAGCGGATTATGCATATGATGGTGGTGATTGATCTTCGGAATTGTGCTTCAGAACTTTCTTTTTTCTCAGAATTATTTTTGGTTTCTCGCAATATATGTTAATCATTTCCATCTACTGTAATTTACTATATAATTTCTAGATAAGAAAAAAGAAGAAAAATTCGGGTAAAAATTAAGAAAATTAAAAATAGTCCCTTCTTATCATCTACTCACTTTTATCTGTATGATTAATTTTAACTTGTAGAAGTTTTATTCTGTATAACATGTATAATATAGTTCTTCTTACAAAACCTCAACTCGCTTAAAATTTTCATATTTGTATAAAATTTCGACTTCTATCATTGATTGATAATTTAGCGATATAATTGTGATATCTTTAAGGAAAATTTTAATCTTTTACTAAAAATGAAATGAATATTACTAGATATTTCCGAAGAAATGCTCCGGTAAGAAAATAAACGGAAAAAATGATCATACATTCGTTCTATCACAGATCGTGCACGTAATTTTTCATAGGTTAGATAACATTGTGCATAATGTGTGATATATATGATAATCAATTTTATATTATCCATCATATTAAATTCATATAAAAAGGAAACGGAAAGGAGAAAGAAAAGATTGAAAAAAAAAAACATTTCATAAAATTAACAATAATTTTTTTCTCACTAATTAATTAACATTTTCCGATTTGTTTTCTGAAATGAAATAAGTTGCATGCATTTTGGGTATTGTATGTGATTTTTGCAACATTGAGCTTTTTTTTTTCTTGTTCTATCATCCCCTTTCGACAATCAGTATTATTCCATTTAACTAATCTATTTCAATATTATCAAGAAATGAATTCTCGATTAAAACAATGCATTTTGGGTATTGTATGTGATTCTGCAACATTGAGCTTTTTTTTCTTGTTCTATCCTTTTGATGACATAATCTTTCTTATTCCATTTAGCTAATTCATTCCGATATTATCAAGAAATGAATTTTCGATTAAAGAGCAATCAGTTCCTTTTATCATAATAGAGCAGCCCCATATATACATATACAACATTATTGGCACAAGTTGAACTGAAATAATTATGTAAGAATTGATTCGCGAGGAAATGTAATTGAAATTATACCAAAATCCCTGCCGCCGTACTCTATCCTTTAATTTAGCTTACTTATTATTGCGACTGATTACGTGCGTTCTAAATTACTAGTCCTGAAGGTACCTATGGACAGCATCACTTAGCATGCGCTTTATCTGAATGATCAGAGAGTTGAATTTTGATCGCTCTAAGCTTCTGATCACATAGCAATCATGGACACAACAGCTAAATTATTCAGTTTAGTATTACTCCATAATCAGTAACATATAAAGTGAAACGTACATGACCTAATATGGTTCACATTTTCTGAAATTATGAAAAGCCTTTTATAGAATCAACTGTTTTTACTTTTAAAAAATGGACAATTAACATGGGAATGATTTGCAAAATCTAGGACACAAATTTTTGAGTGAAGTCCGGGAGATCAGAGTGCTAACATCTAGAAATTTAGGACAGAAATGAATATAAATGCACAAATTCTCAACAGAAGATGGCGGGATTACGCGATTTTCGAATAAGTTCTATAAAAAAGTTCGAACAAATAATATTAATCCTATTAACAAAAACAATCATTCATTCCTCCTTCTGCTTCAGCTTTCGTCGCTTCCTATTTTTAATAAACCTTTCCAATGGATGGATAGAAAGAGATGTAACAAAATCAGAATTAAATTTCTCAACAACACTAATATCCAATGTGATCATCAGCATCCGCATGACATCATCCACACGTCCATTAATTATGAGATCGGCTTTCCGATCCTTAATAAAAAAATAATGAAAACAAATGACCAAGTTATTTATTCTGGGGATATCATGTAAAAGAAAGTAAAAATCTATTCCAAAACGACCCTAACTATTAGTATGATATTTGAATCGCTAAAGAAAAATCTGCAATACCTAAAAAATGTGAAGTCATATGTCGGTTTTCTTAATCATTTTGTCTAGTCACATTTCCCATTTCAAAGCAGTCACTAAAACTTGCCATTCTGAGGAGAAAGTTAAATAAAGATTCTTTTCTCTGTTCTTATTACAATTACACGTCTGCTACAAAAGTTCTTATCTTAAGACAAGCCTTTGCTTCTTTTGCTTTTTTAACAACTACAAATTTAGATTCATATCTTACGTGATTTATATCTTAGAAAAACATAAAAATTCAATGAAAACTCAATAATTAGTGAAATACACCAATTTACTAATATTCATTGAAATATTTACGTGTTTTGTCTTCGAAAGATTAATAATGATCATTTTGCCACCATTTTTCTTGACTAGAAGAGGTAAATCACCAGCAGGAGTTATTTGGAGAGTTGTACCCAAGCAAATGCTAAGATCCGCATTTCTGCAATCACTAATTGAAAGCATCAATGAAATGAATTAGTGCATGTGGATGAGAATCATTCGCATGAATTAACAAAACTGATATTATTAAAATCATTAAACTTTTCAGGACAAATCGATAGAGACCTATTTGTACAATCATTCCCATTGAATGGCATGCTGTAGTAAGGATTTACAAGAGAAGCTTAGGTTAAGGTTTTGCTACGAGCCAACAATTATCGATCTTTCAATACAAGTGATATTTATTTCAAATGAACAAATTTAAAGGGTAAACAAAACTTGAAAATTTAACAGCAATTTTTAAAATAACCTCGAAAATTCGTTTGCTGCGCGGAGATCTTCTTCTGGTAGTGGATCTTCCCAATCCAAACAAACATCATGTAGCATTCCACGACAAGGTCGTCCACTATTTGTACCTTCGCATCGTTTCCCGGTAGGTTTTAATCCGATGCTTCCAACTGGTGCAGTTCGATAATATTTTCTAAAACAATTACTTGTCAATCACCTGGAAAATTATCTGGTACATTATCCTGCATACCTAGCGAAAGTTAGAAGACGGGGAAGAGGGTAACAAGTAGGAAATTATTTACTTTTGTGTCATCAATAGCGTAAATATAGTAAACTTTTGATGTTTTAAACACTAAAACTTCGAGAATTCACGAAAAAATTCATGATGAAATCAAATTGAGATAAAAAGGATTCCAGTCACCTGCCACATCTAGCACATTTCTCCAAGAATACGTTTCCATGAAGTTCAGCGATACGATTCAACGGATATCCTGAGCGAATGTGCAAACCGTCTACATTTTGGGTAATAACAAATCTGAAATCAAAATAAGGGATTTTTTTGTATATGAAGAAGAACAGAAGCTTATCGACTTTTCAAAACTATTTCTTAAACGAAAAACTGTTTAAAATATTTTTGCAAATCTTAACAAATAATTTTAAAAATTCGCAAATTTTTAGTTAATCTGAAACATAGTAAAAGAATAAATTTTTTGTTCAACTAGAATTACCACATTATATAAGCATTCACAACTAAAGTCCTTCTTTTTTCTTTTGCTATTATTTTTCTCTTTTTTGGTTATAAATCCAAAAATTTCAAAAATTTTCTTGTCTGAGCTTTTAATAAATAAAAATACGTTCAAATCGCTCACTTGACGATATTTTTACTTTCAAGAGCATTAATACCATAATGAGTGTAAGTTGGCAATGCTGCAGCGAAACTGACTCCATCATCAATTGGTTCGTTTCGTGCTTCCAAAGTCCATAATCCTCTAGGGCCGCGGAAATCCGGTATACCAGCTGTGGTGCTAATACCAGCTCCCGTGTGCAGCACACAACAACGGCTAGCCAATAGTAGCTCTGCAAGATGGTCCACCTTTCGTTTTAATTCATGATGATTATCGGCAACCTAAATTCAAGTAGAATAAAGACTTGAAAACCGACAACCGATAAATATTATAGTTCAATTTTTGTCACTGACTATCATGACCAAGAGGAATTCAGGAAAATGCTTTATTTCAAGACAGTATCACGAGTGATCGCAAATTATCGAAAACAGAAGGAAAAACCTAATTTAGCAAAGTGAAAGAGTAAAATCTGAGATAATTCTAGCATATATCCGGAAGAAATAGTAAAGTGGAAACCTCAGGTAATCCTAGAACACCCTTATTCTCGTACGGTGATAAGGCTTTCGCATAGCTCATAGCCATTGTACCATTCTTTAAAAGAAGTTTCACGTGAAAAATGTGTGCATATCATCGGAAGTTATCACGATCCGTCAAATTTCGGCGTTATTCCAGATGTAATCGAAATTCCCTTTTAAAGTCCATAATTTGCTTCTACCGCACAATACTTTAGAGAACAAGCACGGATCGAATACGAACCAATGTTTTGATTTCTATAGCAAATTATGTGAGTAATACATGGGGAGGTACATTTGCTACTGTAAACTCAGTATTAAGCATAGTCCTTTCAGAAAAAAGATAAAAAATATTTCGAAGACTATACAACTTTCAGAAAATACATCCCCTCTTGGCAGTCCCTTATTATCAGCTGCACTCTTCTTATTTAGAGATTAATACGACGTTAGATATAATGAATTCCATAACGGTTATATCTATTTTCTAAATATAGATATTACTTTGTATCAAATCTATTGTAAATAACTGAAAATCAATTTCATCCACTACATTTTAACAGTAAATAACTAGAATTAACTTCATCCATTACATTTTAATTGTGAATTATGAAAGAATGAAAACCGGAATCAGAACAATTTTAGAGGATGCCACGTGTAAGATGAAATAATACAACAAAACACAAAATTTGTAATCTTGCATGTCAAAAAAAGACAATGATTTCACATTAAGACATTCAGGGTAGCATAGACCAAATCAGTGGTCCGCAGCGATGCTGCCATTTCCGTTGGTTTCCGTAGGCCAACGTCATTGTCGCCCAGCGAGGGTTTGTGATAGATCTTTGTTTCCAGGTTGTGGACGGATTTTCGTTTGGTCGTGGTTTGTTAACTTTGAAACTGTGTGGTTGTAGCATTTTTGTTGTTGTGTTTGTGTTACTGCTCACCGATGGTCTAATTTGATTGGAGCGGTATTGGTAACGGATAATTGCTAGCATTAAGAAGGCAAGAAGTATACGAGAAAACAAGATAAAAGTTAAACAAGAAGTCAGAAAGATGTGAAAAGAAAAGTAGATATAAAGTTTTAGTTAAGAGTTTCAGGAAGTAGTTGATTGGAGGTAGCAATAATAGAGGTCATTATACGAAATAATCAAGTATACTAAATATGAGTTATGGCCTCCCTAAATATAAAATGCTGAAACTCTATCATATTTGTTATTCATATAATTTGAGTATGGGATCTAAGGATGTCCCTCTCTGGTGATTTTTTTCTTACATTCTAGATATCCCCATTCTGGGACTTCTGGCGCTATTTATCTTCGGTTAAATTTTCGAAATCCTTAATTCTAATTATAATTTTCTATCTAAATTCTCAGTTTCTTCTTATAAGTTCTCTTCTGATAATGGATTTTCCACTTCTATTTGCTTACTATTTGATTGTAAAGCAGACAAAATGTTTTTTTTTTTTAATATTTTTTGAATCTTTGAGAGATTTTACTAAATTTTCTGGTGGTTTCTGGACTTTAGAAATATTTTGTTCTCTAAATGATGCAGTGATTCAGAGATATTTTTTCAGGCAAAATTTAGTTCTGTATAGTATTTTCGTCGTTTATTTGTTGTTTGATACTTGGAGCTGACTGGATGATTTCCAAGGATATGGACGCTGACATCGATGTAACATCGATGACCGATGATGGTATCCTGAATCCATATAAAGTTTCATTAAACAGTGACAAGAATATCGATAAAGAGGTTTTATTGCTTTCCTACTTCACTTAAGAGGAGTTTCAATACTTATATTACTATATCTAGCGCACCACTGTATTTGTCTAAAAGTACATTAGAAGTAGGTTTGCAGGCTTATTTAAGTAAACTTACGGAAAGTAAACTCACCCAAGCTATGGAAGAACATATATTTGACGGAGAAAGTGCTGAACAAGAGCAAAATGAAAGCTTCGAAAGCAGCGATGGGAATTCATATGGCACAAGGCAGTCGAGAAAGTGATATTCGATATCTTTCAATTACTTTATCTTTCATAACAATTAAAATAATGGATAATTGAACTAGATTTTAAAATTCTATCCAGTTTTTTATTGTTTTCGGTGATATTTTGTGAAGTGGAGAAAATATGTGAATAGTAGTACTACCTTTCATTGCTTAATATATTTCGAAATATATTTAAGGCAATAACATTGTAATACGATGGTTATGAAATTCACTCTTACTGATTCCTTTATATATTTGAGGCCGAATCGCTGAGATCCTGTTATTTTGAATTTAGATTTGGTAGTTACTCCTCCCAATCTTATTCTAGGATGAGAATTATAGCATGATGACACTTCATTAATTGGAACAGTAATCTAAATCACGATGACTCCATATTATTAGTTCAATACAGTATATTCAAATTTTTCGGACTTATCATTCTGATCTATTAGTGTTTTGATACAAGCAGACTTAGGAATCCATCACTGTGGCAAAGACCAGATGTGCGACGTATCGTGGAGGATTTCATTAACAAAGATATAACTTCAAGAGGTGCGGCCAACAAAATCTCGGATATTTTGGGTCGCAATGTTTCACATTCTACAGTTTTGACATACGCTAATAGATTATTGCGGGTATGTCCTCATTTTTTTCATATTTTATAGTACGTTTTTTGTTTTTATGGGTTTTATGTTTGGAATAAACTTTCGAAAATTTTTTAATGTACTTTACGGTAATAATTAAATGGGTTCTTCAGCCTTCTTCACATCTTTTTTTCTCTGATAGGCTTCAAAATCATAAACTTGGTGAAGATTCCTAAAGCATGTATTTCGGTGGAATCTGGATTTCTTCTAATGCTAAATTTTCTTCTCTTTGTGGCTCAGGCCATAAATAACTTAGTAAATAAATCACAATAGCAAAAGGTTGTTGATTATCCTCAGTATGATAGCCTGTTACGGTTCGAAGATATTGCGAAAAGATAGTGATTTCATTTTAATAAGAACAAGTGGTGTTTTTTCTTTGAATTGAATTACCGACATTGAATTGAATTACACCTCGGTTAAGTTATCGTCATGGACCTTCATTTAAGGGAATAAAACGTGAAGTGGAAGAAGAACCAGCATACCAAGTTCAGGTCGAACCCGATGGTTCGCCAGCACCGGTTGATGAAGTCGGTTATGATGTGCACTTCGAGCTTGTGAAAACAAGCCGTGGCAACGATAATGGCCTGGCCGTTTATGAAGATAATGGATTTGTTCGTGTTTATCGCCGCACTAGTACAACGGGTCGAAGCGCATCCTATCGCTGTTCCACGTGTGATCATCTTTATGAAAAACTTGGCCAGGGTGAACGGCCAACGATTAAAATGCGTGATAACGTCATTGTAACGGATCCATTTCCAACTCATAATCAATTATGCACTCCTACACCGGTGGATGTGTTCCGTAGGACACAGGAAGATTTAGAAGCACGACAACTCAATATGTGTAGGCGTGTATTAACTAGCGTAAGTCTTCTGTTTTGTTTCAAAGCAATCTTTTGTTTCAAAACCAAAAATTTCTGATAATAAATCTTACCGAATTTTATTTTAATATGCGTGTTTATAAAAAGGAGACAAGTAGCGAGCTAAAAAATGTCAGGATTAGATAGTACAAATTTTAGTCGCGTTTCAAGGAAATGAGATGGGCAAGATCATTTGATACTGTCGGATATGTGGTAAAACCGCCAAATGAAGAGGAAGAAGCGATCAACAAATGCATCGAAAGGTTTCTTTGTCTTTCATGCAGAGACATAATGTAATGTTTGCGTATGAAGTTGGGATAAGGAGAGCATGATGTGAAATATGTATTGATTTAAATAAAATTAAGATTACGGGGAAAAGAAAATTTGCGCTTACATTTTGGAATTTTAACTGCCAGAAATCATTCTCATTCTTTTTGTGACTGTCATAATACCATTGCTGTGACCTTCATAATACGTGATCTTTGTTGGTAGGCGATAAAATTCCTTGAACTAGAAAATCTTCATTATTTCATAAATGTGAATTAAAAATTATTCCTTTTGCAGTTTACTAACAAGGTGTCGTGGCTCAACAGAAATGGAAGACGAAGACAAGGAAGCGTATGTTATTTTACTCCAGATTTTTGAAAATTTGGTAACTGAAGTTGAAATATCAGTTTTAGTTTATAATATCTTAATTCACATATTATTTCAGTGTGCTGAGAGACTTAATTGAAGGCTACAAGCGTGGAGAGGTTTCCAGTTTAACGGAACTTGCAAAACTGATCAAAGAAAATCTAGACATTGATGTCTCTAGCCCCACTCTTTGTCGATATCTTAAAAAACAGGTCATTATTTTGTTTCGGTCACTTTCAGCTGAGCTTCCTACCTATGACGAACTCATGCAGTGTTCGCTTCACAGTTGGTCCGCAACCAGACGATAAAGATGTGGGCATGTTTACTCTTCCATATCAATTCATTTTATAATTTATTGTTTACAGACCGATGACAAGGCTCAATCGCCAATGGAACCAGATGAAAGGTATGATTTTTTCTATTCTTCCTTTTTTATGCGAGTTGAATTACTTCTAAAGTGCTATAAGGTTGATTGTTAGAGTGTATGATTTTGTGCTTCACGTGATGCTGAAAATATACTTCTGCTTATACTTCATCTTCAAGAAATGTTATTCTGAAATTTCAGCGATACCGTCCTGATAGCTCGTCCAGGACTTTCGAAATACTTGAACGAAACGCTTATTACTGTACCAGAAAATGAAGGCTTTCGCCAATATTCATTTATGAAAAGGTCGTCAGATGGTGTTCGATCGTATTACAGGTTGTTACTGTATTTATTTATCCGTATTCGTAAAACGCTTTTGAAATAAATTCATTCCATATTTTTTGATCTGTACCTCTCTTCTTTTGTCATCTATAACAAAAATTAGGATTCCTATAGAAAAGCTATAGTAAAAGCAGTAGGGTCTTCCTATAAGCCATTCATATATAGAGACCACGATTTCTAAAATTGCGCAATTATTACCTTTTTATTTAGCATTGAAAAGATTTTTCGAAATGGAAATTTAGATATCGCGAGAAAGAGATCACAGTTTTTTGGATGAATTTTTTTTTGAGAATTTTGTAATCAGATTTCTAGATTGGAGAAGTTTCTAACGTGGATACTGTTACAGGTGTCTTGGATGTTCTCGTGCAAAACGCCTTTATGGACCAGATCGGCAGGCTTATGTGAAAGTAGAATATGGCGAGATAATCGATAGACCGCTTCATCATCGGAGGTGCGAACCACAATCGGAAGAAAGTGTCTTAGTCCAAAATCTGGATCGTGAGTGTCGTAGAAGTATCAGGAAAGGTGAAAAAAATCCACGGGAAGCTCATGCAGAAGTTTGTATAACTTGTTAATCGATCTCATTTTCATTGTTATTAGCATGAGTATTCAGTGCATGTATCTTTCTGTTTCTTATCGTAGTGAATACTCCAGCAACTTAGTTCTGTGAATATCTAACATTATTATGTGGCACTTTACTTCATATACCTCTTATTTTTCAAATGAAATGTCATTTAATTTTAATTAATGTTCCAGGGGTTAGATAAAATGGCTGAAATAGAAGCATCGTTTTCTGGAGATGAAAATATACATGGCACTCTGCAAAAGCTTTTTCCATCGTGGGAAAGAGTTAAAGCGGCATATTTCCGACAGAGAGATTTGTTAAAGAAAGCAGCAATAGCAGCAGAACTAGAAGAGGGAGCATACCAAACTAGCGTTCATGATAGTGAAATTGGTCGTTATGAAGAGATTGAAGGAAATGAGAGGTTAATTCATTGTTGCATTACGAATTTAACTCAAATTTTTAGTGTCTGTAATCCTTTATTATTGTTGTTATGACCTTAGAACAATTAACATCATTACGATGTAACACAGTGTTTTGGATATTAAGCCTCATTATGCAATTATTACATTGTGATATATGTTCCAACACTGAAAAATTTGCTTCCTTTTTTATATGTCGTAAATTGCGTAAAACTGATGGTTGGATGATAAGAAATTGTGGGGCTGCCGTATTCCATATCGAAAACATATATATTTTTTAAGCAACGATGTGCGAAAATTACTCTGGCATAAATGTTTGAACGATTCTAATGACTTTTTTACTTTTCAGACTTTATTCGATTGTTTTCGCTGCAAGTTATGCATTTATAATTGGCTTACTATATTTTACGTAAAATATTGAATTTTAGTTTCATGGCACCTCCCGGCGCAGCGGTTGAGCTTACTCCCGAGATGAATGCTCTGAAGAATCAATTATTATTTGATGTGCAGCAAGCCATTCGAAGAGAGGTCGCACGAGCAATTACTCGGACCACTATCATGATGGAACAACGATTTGACGCAAAAATTCTGCAGATATTCGATGATATATTTCGGACGCAAAATGAAGAGGAAGTTGCGGAAGCAGGGGTGAATTTTTCTTCCACTTATCTGATGGTCTCCGTTCGTTCCTTGCTGTCTTTGCGGTCTATTGACTATCACAGTTATTTAATTTTTCGAACTCTTAACACTGCACTCAACTTGAAACATGCGATAGCTGCTGGATTGCTGGGTAATGTAATAAATTAAGAGCTTCCGTATCCAAATCCATAATGTTTGCTTTTTCCAGATAGTCGATGAATATGCACTCCAAGAATTTCCGTCAACTTCTGCCTCATCATATCCTTCACAAAAGCGACGACGTTTAGAGAGTATTGGGGGGAATGAAAGAGTAAACGATAAACCATTTTCAATTCCTGCTTGTTATTTGAAGCGAAACAGATTGCTTATCAAAGAAGTTGCAAGAAAGAAGAATTCCATGTAAATTCTCCTTTTAAATTTCAACTTTTGGATTACAACTTCTATCTAAAACTTTGGCCAGTTGTGTAGATAATATTTCGAATTCTTCTGTGGCCATATATTTAAACTCTTTTAACCTTTGATCGTGTTTCTTTTATATTGATCGCATGCCTTTTTCGCGTTTAGGTCATAGCTTTCTTATTTCACCTCTCTTGCATGTTCGGAAGAAAATAGGAAAAAAACTGTATTCATGAGTCATCATATTCTGGAAAACTTTGACCTATAGGCATTAGAATATCTGAATTGTGATCTGTTTTCTATTTGTATTTTTAATATTTCATATACATGTTGTTTGATTTTCATTTTGTTGAGAATTGTACTTTCTAATTACAATATTTTCAGTAAGTTCTTACATTTTCATGTTAAGTAATTTTATGGATTTGATTCTTGGAGATTGAAGAGCTTTTACATTCCAGAATTCGCGAATATTATTTCCGACAAACTACGACGTTTTGAATAATCTACAGAATTCAATATTTAAGACTGATTTTTTTAATATTTTTTTCACGTTTCTACCATTCCTTTAATTCCTTTGATTCTGTTTGTTCAAAATACTGCTGTTTTTTCATTTGTGAAATATGTGGAAAGCAAAAGAAGGGATGGAGTAATTGAGGAGTACGCTTATTTTGAACAAAGATTCTGGATAATTATTTAAATGTTTAGAAATGTAGTGTATCTCATTTTTTAGTGAGATGCCAAAAAATTACTAGTATATTCTAAATGAAATTTGAGTTTCAGCTTTATTTGCTGGTGAGTACAATTACTCTTATTTTTTGATTATGATCAGTCACTAAGTATACAAAAATTGAATACATTTTATTTGGTAATTGTGTTGTATTGAAACAAGTTCTAATTCTATTCATTTCTTTTTTTTTTTCATTATACGATAATCCATTTACATAACAAAAAAATTACCATGATTATTTACTTCACCTAATTTACATGTTTATAAACGTGAAAATTTTTTCAGTTGGCTTGATGTTCTGTAACAAAGTATGTCATATTGCTATTATCTAATTCAAAGAAAACTCAAAATGGCGATAGCGTGAAATCTTATATCTTTCGTAAGAGAACCGAAGTTTTTGACTTCTCCATTCTAGTGATACAGCAGCGAGAGCTTAATTATTAACGATGTAGGAATGTTACTTGTGTTTGCTAACTAGTGAATTATGATATGAATTGGTGAAGTTACGGCACATTTTAGTTTTGTATGTGTATTGTTTTGTATACGTTAAACGTTATATTATTGAATTTTGTTTGAACGTTGAGTTTGTATGAAATTTGAACGGTGAAAATAACCCTTTATGAAGAAATTATTTTGCTGGAAAGCGTCAGTTAAAGATTCGGACTCGTAGAATCTCAACTTTTCATTTGTATAAGAATATCTTATTTGTTTGTAGTTGTATTTTTTATGTTTTAGCTTGTCATATATGCAGAAATATAAATTGTAACCTTTGTAAAAATTGATCAGTTCACATTGTAATGTTAATATTATAATTTCGTAGGAAAAGTTATATTTGAAGTAGTCGACGTTATGTTTATGTTTTTGGGCTGAATTCCACCAAAATTTTTTTTGTGAATTCCCTAACACAACAAATATTGCAAGTTTAGCATGTAGTAGTTTGCTTAATCCGCACAGAAAACGGATGTTTTTATGAAATAATTTGTGGAAATTTGGAGTTTACACATTACACGAATTGTGTTCATTGATATCAGTCAAGTTTAAATTCTGAAAGAACCGCCAAATTATATACGTTAAGGTTGTCAATTGATACGCTGATGGTACAGACAGGATCGGTTGAGAAAGAGAGGCCCAAATGTGGTTGTAAAGGAGTTCGCTTCTGTGCTGCATGTAAAGATACGCTGAGGTAGGATAAATTTCTTGCAAGCATTGTATTAATATATCTGAAGGGAGTTATCCACAAGGGAAGTTTTGTGCAACTATTGGTGTCAATTTGTATTTTTACGTTATAATTTTAAACACTTAGTGTGACCTTTGGAGGAATTTAAGATGTATAGTGTTTAAAATATTTAGGGTGACGAAACTGACGCAATGTAGAGAATATCCGTATGCGGAATATAAGAAATATGTGTATTCTACGCGTTATCGTATGGGAATACACGATAATTCATTATCCGGTCGTCCAACATTAGCTGATATCCATGATTCGGCTGGTAGAATAAACGAAAGTGAAAATAAATCTGAGGTATTCATTAAAAAAATGCAAATGAAGTCAAGTCAAGAACTAGTGTGTATGTTTGGCTCTTTACTATTCATTAAATGAGGAAAATAGAAAAAAGCATCACATATATTTGTGAATTTGATCGGTGTAGTACCAAGTTATTTGTCACAGTTTGCGATTTTTAGGATTATTTGGTTGTTCCTGGTCTGAATGTTGTTACCGATTTCCTTACCGAAATTGAGGAGATGGACCTCGTCGATGTGATTGATAAGACCGATTGGGCGCCTTCACAATCTGGACGTCGAAAACAGGTTGTTTTTTTTGCTTTTTTTTTAATCCTTCAGTTGTTATTCTTGGTGTGTTTCTGATGAAAGGAATTCAGTCAAGAGATTTTTACAAAATGATATCATGATAATTTATTTGAGACTTACATTAGCTACTTTTTAAGTTCATTTCGCAGCACTTTTCCAATGATGTGGAAATTGATCGTTCAATGACTCCAGCGCAATCTATTTTAGGATTACGGTCCACGCGTCAATTTCAAACATAAGAAAATAAAAACGGATCGTTTTTTTGGGATGCCAGGTTACATAGACATAATACTAAACAGAATGAATTCCATTTCCTCAGATTTATTCGGTTCCTATCAGCCGTTTGAATTATGTAATTTGGAATATAGCGACGACAGGTGGTCAGCTATTGAAATGCACTACGATGATACATGGATTTGGGGGGAACGCTTGATTTGGTTTGTTTCTGGTTTTCAGGTTCTTTATATACACATGATAGCTTTTTTTATTTTCTTATTAAAAGCTAGAGTGTTTTTGGAATTTTTTTCAAAAAGTAGTTTTTTCTCTCAAGTCGTAAGCTATTTCTTAAATGTTCAATTTCTTATTTTTAAGTGAATTTATAACTTTTATCACCCTTGTCTGTTGCAATTTTAGCGTCAACCTTTTGAGCGAGTCGGTATTGACATATTCATCTGACGAGAAACAATTAATGATTTATGTCCCACTACCAAGAAGGTATGTTTAAGCTATACTGCCAAAAATTTACGTCATTTTAAATTAGAATTTTGCATTTGCAACTTTTCATGGAGATAATCGTCAAAGAGATTTTTCGAGCAGATAAATCAGGAATAAAGGAGAGCATTGAAAAGATCATGAGATAAAACCGTTCCTTCATTTGAGGTTGAACTTCACTCTTAGATTTTAAAGTAGATTCTAAGAGCCAGCGAAGCGAATTTCTCCATTCATGTCATTGCATTTTTTTGTGTTCTACAGGATTTAATAATAATACATCAAAGGGCAATTATAGCATGAATAATGTATTTATATGAACTATTAAGTAATGATTAATTTAAAAAAAATATTGTTAGAACAATGGTATGTATGTCTGATGAGATTCGCTATTCATGGAGGCATGCCGTCTTTCCGGAACATATTCGCGGTCGAAGAATAGCCTTGACCATGAGAGAACCAAGTGCAGCTTTTAAGGTAACACGTCAAAAAATACAGAAATTTGAAATTTTGGGCTCGATAATAAATTTACAGGAGAAATTATCTATGTGATGATATAAAATATTATACTGTTTTGTATCCATAGCCAAAATCAAATTTCCTTCCTTGTTCGGAATTTGTAGGAGTCATTTTCGCTTGATCTGTTAGTTAACTCAAACTGTGAATATTATAAGCAATTTCTTTTTTCGAATTAGTATGATTTCCTCACCATAGTAACGGTTGCTGTATATGACTTGCAAACTTCAGCGAATTTCTTATTATGTTAAGATTCATATTTCTTTTTTCATTCTTCAGAAACAAAGTTTAGATTTGCTTTTCTTTTTCAGGAAGGTGGTGAATTGTACGAAAAATTCGGTCGAGAACTCACGCGTTTAGGAAATCTTCGAGTATAAGTTACGAGTCGTTGTTTTGTGTGCATTAAAGTTGCAAATGAGTGGAAAAAGGAATCTGATTCTCCTGTATATTAATTTTTAGCTAAGTATAATTTATATTTGATATTCATTTTTTATTTTGCTTTACTGTGCAATAATAACTTGTTTATTCAGTGTTGTTGTTTGAATATGTCAAGCACATGAATCTTATGCTTTATTTAAAAAGTGTTGAAATTTTTGTGGCGGAATGAATGACTAACGTTATCAAAGCTGGATCAATGAGATAGTAATGTTTAAAATTTTCGCGAGATATTTATCTTATATACAATTACTAGCTGTCTTCCTCGGTGTTTTTGTTTACACTAAGGCTCTTTTCTTTCTTTTTTTAATTCTTTTTTCCTGGTGTATTTCGATTTTTTAAAGCTGGAGCAGAATTCTTGACCTATTACCATCCGAAAACAAACAGACGGGGATTATTTCCATAGGTGACATTTCTAACGATTAGTTGTTAATTACGGGAAAGTTTTATGTGGTGTAATAAAATGGTTGTTATGACATTGAGTTGACAAGGTTTTTTTTGACTTATTTTTATTTGGTTGTTTGTCACTTTAAAGCATGGAATAATGCTTTCACCACTTGCTGGATACTTGCAGTAATTTTGAGATGACATCATCCCCTAACGAAGATGTAATCATGATGGATCCAGAAACGGGATATGCGATGTGCAGGTAACAGTTCCTTTGCTTTCGCCATCAAATACTCATGTAGATCTAGAAAAATGTGATTGGACATCTCCGAGCTTCCCAGTTCAGAAGCAGAATTCGGTAGCTGCTGAAGAGTTATGGACGGTAATGGAGGGAGGGGATGTTTAGAATACAAATTATTATAAATAAGTAAGTGAATGAAGCACCGTCCTTCCGAAGCGTTGAGAAGACTGTATCATTTCAACATATCATTTTCATGAAATCCAAGTTGCTGATATTCTGCGAATTTCATTACTATACCTTTAATAATCTTTATGTTTCTCATGACTTTTTATCTTTAAATGATTGTCCAACTTTCTTTAAAAAGAATTTTTTCTTTGCCGATGAAGTATATACATATCAAAAGCTTTAATCGGTAAAGCAGTGTAGTTTCATTTTCAGAGAATTTATAACAATAACCATTCTTCCACGTTTTCGTAGAACTGTTGATCAGATGTTGTCACTCCCAAATCATTACATAATAAGCGCATTACACGAAGCTGTGTTGTCTATTGAAAGCATCATTGACAAGGTAAATTTAAAATTTCAAAGATTTCCGAAGTTATATTATGTGGCTTTACTTCTCTTTCGCTACTCTTAAATATTGGGTTTCAAATGCATGAAATACATTAAAAGTAGAATGATAAAACCAACAATGGTCCATCTAACAGGTTGAAATCAAGGTTGTCGTTCGGAAAACTTAATAATAGCAGCGCTCTATATCCAGTGAAAATACTTATTCTAATTGAATGAAGGAATAATTTCCGAGTATATTATGTCATTTTCAAAACAAAACTTAGAGACTTAATGGATTTTTTGTTTTGCAGAAGAATTTCTTTTTTCAATCTTAGACGTGATTAGGCGAAGCTCAGCTCTTGTCTACTCTATTAGTTAATTTTTTCGATGATTACTCGCTAATTTATTTCAAGCGTTTTCCAGAAAGTTCGAAAAATTATGGATGGAAATAAACATAGTGCCGAATATCTTAGAACGAGGGTTTTACATTTTGCTGGAAATATACTGTTTAAATCTGATGTTAGTTTTCATTTTTGCATTCAATGCACACATTCAATAGATCAGAGGGATATTTTGTTTCCAGATAAATTTAATGTTAAAATCAACAAAGGCGGTAGTGGAGAAAGAATATTTACAAATTTTAATTTGTTATTGGGACAGTTACTTTTAAATCTTATTGAATCACTTGAGTTCTAGGGATGCAGATCACATGCATGACCCTGTATTTCTGTTCTCAAGTTTGGTAATAAGGATAGATACATGCAGTTCATTATGTATTTTACAATCCAGCTCTTTGAATAAATGTAAAGAATTTAGTTTGAACTGAAAAAAATTTAGTTTCATTTAAATTTCGATCAGCCTTTCTTCTACGCTTGTACGACGTTCATCTCCAATATTTTTTGAGTTCATTTATTTATAATTTTTCTGTACATGATGACGTAAGATAGATCTTCCAAAAACGTGAAACTTTGAATAGTTTATTAATGGTAATAGTGATGATAGTGATGAAAGAGAATTAATAACACTGTAGATATGAAAGCTCAGTTTATATTTTGTCTATTGGTCTTTATGTTACTTTTCAGATAGAGAAGAAAATGAAGATGATAATGAGCAGTGCATTTAAAGTAAGCTTTATTTTATATGAAATGTTGAAAGCAAAGGATAGCGAAGTGTCTACTTGTTGTGAAACTCTGCTGGCTATGCTTCGAGAAACAGTAGTGCATTTGTTAGTTATTATTTATCATTCATCTGTATCTTTGTATAGGAAAGCTTCTTAAATACGTGTCACACGTTGCACATTTTACCGCAGGTGCGATGTGCTCTGGAACTTTTCAAAGTATTATTCTGCGACATGACTAGTGAGAAATCATCTTATTCTAAAATAGCTTGTTAGTCAGTATTACTGTAACTTATTTGTGCAACGAATAAGAAATAAAATGATAAAAAATTGGGATTTATTTTTGAAGTTATGCAACTGATGTGTCTAGATAAATAAGCATTTGAGGTTTTTGGTTAGTATTGTAGTTTCCCTTGAAGTGAAGAATATAAATGTTATAACATTTTCAGAATAGACCCGGATAGTTTCGACGTTATGTCAGTTATATCTCAAGCTCATAATCAAGCGGTCTGGCATATCATTGCCAATATGACAAAACGTAAATGTGTAATGCAAACAGAAATGATATCGCTTGCTGACAACACAGGGGTAAACACACAGTTTTTGAAGAAAACATGAGTAAAGAATTAGGATTTGATTTAACTCACCGATTCAGTTACGATGATAAAGTGATATTTTCAAAATTAAAGTAAGCATACTCAAATTAGTTCTGTTATCCATACTTTTGTGGGGAAGTTCTGTAGAGCATACCCCTATTGTTCACATTGTTTTAATGCCAAATAGAAAGTGCGATATAACTGTAAATTTCTTTATCAAGTGGCGGTGAATATCATATATGAGATGGAGAAACTAAATTGAGATAATGAGAAAAACTGACAATGACAGAAATTGCAAAGCAAGAAATTGGAAGTGGAAGGGTGAATTTTTAAGTTTTGCAGCGATGTCGGCGGATTACAGACTGGACAGTGATGATAGGCTTGTCACGGTTAAAACCGACAAAAAAAACTCTCCAACAAGCGATGGAAAAATGTTTTGTAACTACGCTTGCTGAAAAGGTATGGTTTAATCTAAGAGTATCAATCTTCAAGTCAGGGATGGTAGGTATGATTTTCCAGAACGCGTAAATTTTGCTGAATCCATGGAATTTAACTGATAAGTGATCAATTAGGCAACAAACCATACACTTGCATGCAATCGCTTCCTGTTAACATAGGAAGAAGTATCGAGCTGAACTGAAACATGTGACCGTAATGATGGTAAATCTGTATCTTCAGATCTACGATCTTGTAATAGTTGAATATCCGCGGTCTAGTGGAGTGATCGATGATTTACGTTGCTGCATGCAAAATAATGGTGGTTTTGGACGGATGTTACTGATGGATATATTAACAAAAGATGTTGAGCGGAGGTTGCTGCAAGTTGGTTAGCGTAAATTTTTGTTTTTTTTGTATTTAGAAATCTCAGATATGAAGAAAAATAATATCCTATGTTGAACGTATCACGAAAGATGGAAAAAAAGGCTGCGTAACACACATAAAAAATACTTTTGAAGCCTGGGTGGTGTAAGTCATCAATTTCGAAATAAAGAGAATTGCTTTTCTAGGGGTTGGAACAACGGAGATTTTGGAGGGATACGCGAGTGCAGTCGAGTGTTTACGACGTTTAGATCCAACATGTGTAATTATGCAACAGATATGCTCTATAATAAGACAGTATATCAAGTAATGGTTTAAAAATGGTTTAGAGTTTTTAATTTTTTTCGAAAAACTTAGGTTGACGATGTAATTAACAACTTTATTCATGCTTTACAATATGTGTAATTTTATCCTTGAATGTTTAACTTGTATAGAAATTGCAAAGACAGGGGTCATTGATGTAGTTCCTTCTATTTGAGACTGCTGATGTGTCGAAAACGAATTTATCGACTGGCAGTTAATCTATTTTAACAGTAAATAAGCGAGTTTGACCTCAATTCAGACAGCGACCCGATACTGTTCGATGTATAATAACCTATATTACTGGTGAAAAACGAGAAGAACTTAGTGAACAATTGGCGATGCGAAGGACGGCCTTTCTGGATGAGGAAGAGCTGGCGGGAGTGAATGATGAGCTTGTTCCAGGTTCAGATGATACCGCTGGCAAGTTTATTTTTTCCTTTTAAGTACATAAGCCAGGCTGTAGAAATTCTTTCATTACTTGTGCAATGAAAACAATTGTCGATTTCATTTTCGCCACATAAATCTTTGAAAATAAAGATCAAAGATATTAGTGTAGAAGAGAAATTGAAATGAATATAGAGAAGAAACGGAACTTGCACTGCTATTAGCGTGGATTCGTAGATTATGGGATGTATGAGTCTGATTTTATTTTAAAATTTTCTACATTTTAGTCTAATTTTCAAAACTGCAGAATGTAGTTGGATGGATTGGCTGCCAGATCCACCAGATGCAAATCCATGTCAAAGCCGACGATATCGGCAAAACGCAGACGTGTTTAACATGCTAGTGTCCGTTTATGGAAGTAAAGAAATATTTGTCAAAGAGTATCGTGAACTGCTTGCTGAACGGTTGACGAAATCCTGGAATCGGGATGTGAGTATGCTCGAATATTTTTTCGATTTTCAGCGAAGATTAAAATTCTGAGGATAAATAAGCAATATTTTGAAATATTTAGATTGTGTTTCACAATCTTATCCTTTCAATGAGTTATTTTAGAGTAGTCAGATTAATAGATAAAATTAAAAAAGAAAAGTAAAGAGAGACAACAGTTTGAAAGTTTCACTAATTAAATGATTGGTTTCGTGCAAAAAAAGGAAATTTCAAATTTTGTTTTCAGCCACAGTTTGAGCAGCGTTATTTGGAATTACTTAAGCTGCGGTTTAGTGAAGGGGAATTGCAACAGTGCGAAGTGATGTTGAAAGATATGCGTGATTCGGAACATATCGATCGCCTAGTGGATAATTTGCTGGTGAACTAAAAATTTTGAACTTAAAATTTTGAAAATTTTGAGTCTTTTTTAGAAGGTTCAAACGTTTATTGCCAAATAGAAATATTTAGATGATAGCAAATCATTTATGGAATTTAATCAGGTGAACTCACGTTCATTTTATTTTGAGATTACCCTAGAACTGAGCTTTTCTGTAGCACTGCTTCGTGTTCCAAAAAAAAAATCCAAAAATAATCTCTGAAAAAGAATAACAATTGCAATCATCAAATATTTGTTTGATCCAATACTGACTAAACTGGAAATGGCCGGCGAACTTATGTACTTGTTGTAACAAAATGTGAATGGAAATACTAAGCGTTGAATTTTAGCCATTCCCGATCAATGCACGGATTATTTCATCATTTTTCTGGCCGAAGATTGAAAATGAAGAATTTACGGTGTGTATTTTGCTTCTACTTTCTGAAAAGTTTAATGACTTTTTCTTTTAATTTGAATTCTCTTCAATTTAAATTCCTTACTGTATAGATGCCACAAGCACTGATGACCGGCTTAGATGAATATGCTCGTGGATTCGAAACACATAAGGGATCTCGAAAATTGGAATGGATGAGTGCTGTTGGCTCCATTGAATTGGAAGTAGAATTGGATAATGTAAGGGTTGTGGTTGCTGTATCACCAGCTCATGCCGCTGTATTGTCATTGTTTACCAAGAAAGGTCCTTTATTACCCTTTTTTGAGACTAATAGCTAAGTTATCAAATGCATGCTTGGATTTCCGTTTCTTCTTTTTGAGAATATTCATCTTAGAGCAAGACTTTTTAAATAGAACCTTTTAAAGGTCTTTTAAAGAACAAGGCTTTTTAAAGACCACAAAAAGTGTTTCAAACGGAAATGGAAGTTTAATAAAAATGAAGGTAGAGATGAACCGAAATGTTTGCAGAAACCTGGACAGTTGATGAAGTGGCAGTTGAACTAAAAATGGACAAACGAAATGTTAAAAAGAGACTAGAATGGTGGCAAAACAGTGGTGTTGTTTATGCTTCTGAGGTAAGGCTCTTATGTTATGAAAAGCAACACTTAAGGTTTCTGTGTGAGAACTGATATGGTATAATTGAGCAACTCTTGAGGTGTCAAACACCTATTGAGACAGTCAGTTATTCATCGAAATATGTTGATTTCATCAGTCGCTATATTTGTTACTTGAACTCAATACTTAATTCATAAAATCTATAGGGCGAAAGTGAAGCAAAAACGTGGCACCTTGCAAGTGGGACATCTAAAATGGAACGTTTGCAAGTTGAGCACGATATGGAGGAGGATGTATCAGATGATGATAAGAATGAAGATATGGAAGCAGTTGATGCACTGGAACAGTACTGGATCTATACGAAAAGTTTTATCGCTAATCAGGAACCTGTCAAAGCTGAACGATTACATACCATTTTCAGGTAATTATACTGAATATTATATTACATAAGCTGATAAGTGGTGTTTCTAATCGGTTTTGCGAAGACTAGTGTTGCTTGTAGCCAAACTTTTTTTAATCTCTCCGTAAGCTGTTAGTGATCTGACTATTTTATTTGACTGAATTCATCCTCTTTTTCTCCCTTATGAACTTTAAATTAAACCGCTTTTTTAAGGATGTTTGCAAGTCCAGGACAGCATGGACCTACACTAGAGGATGTTGTTGCATTTTTGCAGCGGAAAGTGAAAATGAATTTACTTTCTTGTGTAAATGGATTATACAAGGTTGTAAAAGACGCACCTGTTCAATAACATGTGGACATTATATTCGTAGCTAATGGCATTGTTTATTGTGTTATGACATATATGGCTTGTTGAAAGCTAAAATGATTAAAAGATCTATGCGAAGTTTTCATAGAGTTGGAAAGACTCGTCTTTATGATTATTTGTTTCATTGAAAGTATTATTTCTGAATTCTAAAAAAGTACATTATACATCAAGTATTGCTGATAGGAGGAGTTCTTGCATTCAGAAGTTATCCTCAAATTTCTAGCAGAGCAAAAACGATATATCATAGAGTGAATTTGATTCCGATACTTTCCTCAAGGCTAATTTAATATTATCCGTGTTTAATATTATCCACCTTCATGTTCTGAAGGTGGTGTGCGAAATTTTAGCATAATCATGGACCATCTCAGACTAATCAAACTTTGTTGTAAAACTTTTATAAGTTTTAAGTTTTACCAATGAAGTGGCCAAGGCGAAGTGACTGCTTTCTTAGTTTTACAGCCATTTCAAGGGAATAAGTGCTACATCTCATTCGTGAATTTTTCACTATCGTTTGCATTGAGACCGTTTCATTCTATACAAAATTCTCTTCGTACGATATTTAATTTCCTTAATTTTGATATTAAGTTTGGCCCATAATGAGTTGAGTTTATCAAAGTTCAAAGTATTCGATATAATCATATCATGTTTGATATTTACTTGACTTGATTTAAGAGCATTGAAATTTGGCTACCATTGTGTTTTAGTTTTTAGTTTCTAAATTTTATTTAGTTTCTTGTTTTGGTCAGTTGTACAATTAAATGATCTAGCTTTCATAATAGTTTATCAATTCACAAGGGGAAATTAAATATAAAAAAAATTGGAAATAGGTATTGAAATACTAGATATGAATTTTGGTTTTTTGCTGTCGTAGTTACAAGATAATTGCCAGTGATCTTATGAATTGTTGTCTTAAACTAACGAAAGGCTAGTGTTATGACAATTATTGCCTGTATTTTTATTTTCAGTTTATTTCGATTGAAAAAGCCGGATGTACTGTTAACTGCATATTCGACATTATTCTATGCAATTGGTGCACAGAAATATACTATTTTTCGTGACAAGAACGATATTTCCACTGCCAATACTTTTTCCTTATTTTTCGAAATTTACCCAGCAATCAATAATGTCATGTGCAAAATATACCACCGAAGAATTTGGTTCATTATATGGTTTGGATTATAGACTATATTTCAAAGATCAAAATGGCCGTCATATCTCACCATGGCATGATATACCTTTGTTTGTGGATGAATCGAAAAAAATTTACAATATGATAATTGAAATTCCTCGATGGACAAATGCTAAAATGGAAATGTCAACAAAGGAATCGATGACACCAATTAAACAAGATGTGAAGAATGGTGAACCACGATTTGTGGATAATTTTTTCCCATTTAAAGGCTACATCTGGAACTACGGTGCTCTCCCACAAACATGGGAAGATCCCAAACATCTCGATCCAGTTACAGGAGCATGTGGAGATAATGATCCAATTGATGTAGTCGAAATTGGTTCCAAAATTCATCAACGTGGTGATGTGATATCAGTAAAAGTCGTCGGTGTTATTGCATTGATTGATGAGGGTGAAACGGATTGGAAATTGGTTGCTATTGATGTAACAGATGAAAAAGCCGATGAAATTAATGAAATTAAAGATGTGGAGAAACATTTCCCGGGTCTTCTGAAAGCAACGCGTGAGTGGTTTCGGAACTACAAAATTCCTACAGGTAAACCAGCTAATCAATTTGCGTTTAATGGATTGTTCAAGGATGCTGACTTTGCACATGGTACGTATCATACATTTCTGTTTGATTAACGAAGTAATACGAGCATTTGTTAAAACGACTCTGCTTTTTCTAATTCAGTGAATTGATCTCTAAAGTAAGATGATATGCGTTGAAATGTGAGCTCCGTTCTTGATGACGAAGATTGATTGCTAACTTGAGCTAAGTAAAGTTGATACATTTTTTATCATTTCGTTTTCCGTTTGAATCAGGTCGAAATATTGATTTAAATCAGTTTAATTTAAATAATCTTTCAAGTAGTCATGTATCCACAGAAATACCGATTCTATCCCAAGCTCATCGATTTGAATTATTAATTACATTAAGATATTCGATGCTGTTTAATCTATTTTGATAAATTCAGATTAAGTTTAGTTAATTCAGATTAATTTAAATCATTTATTTTCTTATCTGATGCTGAAGCTGTAGTACAGAAGTACCCGTATATTATTAGTCGGGTTTAGTGTTGCAGTGAACTTTTCAGTAACATTAGTGCAAGCTTTTAGGTATTATTTCTGAAACGCATGAATTCTGGAAGCGTCTTATCAAAGAACCATCACCTAAGCTGAACACTGAAATGACATGTGATATAGATGGAGTATCGCATCCGGGAAATTGTGATAATTGGGAAAAAATCATTGCTCAACAACCATCCCGGAATGTTGAGAAAGGTGTTCCGAAGAAAAAACTGGATAAATGGCATTATATTACAGAATGAATTCGGATTCCATTCTTTTGCTGGACCTTTTCCAATTTTAATATCATTCACTCGTTACTCACTACTACTCATTACTACTTTTTCATGTCTTATTTTTTATTCTAATCAAGCTAATTAATAGTAGAAAAAATGACAATTAATTTTAAAGTACGAATGTTTTATTTACCAATCTGGGAAATAAAAAAAAAAATTTTAGAAGGACTGTTAAATGCATTGATATTCAAATTTCTATTTCTCCTTTACATGTCCTACAGCGAGATAGCGGATAATATTAAAAGCGAAAAGCCTTTGGCATCTTTTATAATTCATATATCATGAATTGAACGTTTCAATGTAATCAATTTCAACGGATTGTAAAAGTTTACACGAAAATTTATGTTTACGTTTAAATTATAAGAAAATGCTAATACCAAATGAAATTTACAGCTCATTTATTTCTTTTTCTTTTGTTATTATAGGTTTTCTTGAAGATTCCTTTTAATAGCAAATATTTACTATTTGTTTTGAAATGATATTCGATTTACTTGGAAAATTGATTAACATCCCATTTTTTATTGTCATAATTAATTAAATTATTATTTTGATTAATATCTTATCTTTTATTGTCACAATTTCCTAAATTATTATTTTGATAAAAGGTTAATGCATTATTATTATTCCGTTTTTTATTCATTGATAAAAGTTCTATCTAACTAGGATTGAAATATTTGAAATCGAACAATCAAAAAAAGTTACAATTAATCAATCCATGGATTCTTCCTACACTTCACAATACATAGGTGCTTACTGATGGAATTTTTACGGGAATGGAAAATCATTACGAGAATTTTGTTGTTAACGGTATTTTAGTTTTGGAATGTATTTATTGTTCAAAACTACTATAAATGGGTTACCTCTACGCAATTTAGAAGAGTGAAATATGGGTAAATTCTTTTTGATCTATGGTTACTGTAGTGGATGTTAGAAGTGTTATCCGGTGTATGTTGGATTTTCCATTCTTTTTTTATTGGGCATCATCCCCTTCTGTCGCATTTTCTCTTTATAAATAGTGGGTGATTTTTCAACTCAATATGCAAATAGATAAATTGGGAGGATACATGGGAAGTACTAAAAAGAATTTTCAGTGGGTTATTGATACCAATGGACGAAGATGTAGAAATGCCGGAAGATACTGACCAGTGTGATAGCAGTAATAATGAAGAAAATGAATTGCAATATCATGAATTAGCACAACATTTATGTGAAAAAATTGATGGTTAGTCTGGCTTGTTCTTTTTTTCATAAGTTTTTGCAATCCTTGAATTACAGGTTTTACTAGTGATTGATTTCGGATGAAGCGTAGGGTTTTGTAATGTTAATGATTTCGTAACTCGGAGAATCGTTATCCCAAAAATCATGCAAATAGGTTTTACGAAATTTAGGTAGGATTGTCGTTTGAATTATTATTTTGTTGAAGTTAAAATTTTTGTGTAATTTATTGAGGATGGACTGCAGCGAAAAATTTTATGGTTGCATAAAATCGCAATGAATGTCATTTTCGAAATGCTTGATGTTCAATTTCAGAATTAACAGTGGCAGTCTCTGAAGGTGGTGAAAAAGATGATGATCTTCGTTCTCAAGGATATTTACTGCAAACCAGTAACTTCGAGAAAAATTTCGCCAAGGTTAAATTTTCTTTTTTCTTTACAGTCAGAAAAAGAAGTCGGTATCGGTAGCATCGCCAATTAATCGTTTACAAGACGATATCATAGTTTATGAAATTTCTTTAAATGATTGCTGGGAGAACTAAAAAAGCGAAAATATCTTTCAGACTCAATCTTGTCGTTTTATAATGACAGACGCGAAATTAACAAAATCCTTATCGAAACTTATTGCCACAGAAGTTCAAAGTTTCCATAACAGTTCAGCCAAGAAAACGATTACTTTGCATTCTTTTGTTCAGACACTGGTATGCTTAAAAATTTTCCAATAATGCATTAGGATAATTTCCCTTCCATGAAGCCATTCGAATGTTTTAGTTTTGATCGTACCATATGACTTTTAAAGCTATCTTCATTAAATCAACATTATATCATAAAAACATTGTTCCATGAACTCATTATGTGCACACCATCGGATGATAGATGTTTTATTTTGGTTGAAGTTTTTGTTAACTGAAAGAGGTTAGCGCTCCAGTTTGAGATTTGCTACAGTTATCTGGGAATTCGGGGACTGACTTTTCTCGTTGTTAATTTTCGGTATCGTCGTTTTTAATCATTATCACTATTGAATAATCCTTTGGCAGGATGTTTTCTCTTAATTGAACTCTTTGTTGATTGCATTCTCGAATAGTTTTATCACCTATAAGTGTTTTGTGGAATAATTCATACAATGATCTTAAAACTTTTTATGAAAAAATGAATTTTCATTGTCTCCGAAAAGAGAAACGAAATAGTCCATGCAGCAGCAAAGCGTAATAATGAGCCGTCCATTTTCGTTTTTGTTTTTTTCTGGTTTACCTTCAGTATATTGCTGCCGAACCGATGCCTAAATTATTTACAATCGAGATAAGCGTGATAATCAACAAAAATGAGGATAATACACGATCAGAAAAGTGGATTAGAGAAACAAATTTTATTATTCGCGGCGTGAGAAGTGAATTGCTAGAGCCTGGATTTTTTTTTGAATTTAAGTTGCCATGAAACATTTTAAAACAGCGAGTTTCAAATTTGAGTAATTAAATCTGTGCGAATCTCTTCAAACTATTGATCTACAAAAATTTTGACCAAAGCATAAGTGGGATCTGAATTCTTCCATTTGTTTATTTGAAAAGTATTTTAAATCATCACTTTCTCAGCATGAATCGACACTTCGGTTTTGAATGTTAGGATTGTAATTTGGTAAGTTATGCAGACTTGATATTAATGCGCTGCCACCTGTTGAGGTTAAAAAATAATGCCTCGTAATATATGGTCTAAAATAATTGTTTTGCAGAAAACTTTTTTGAAAAATGAATGTGGTTTGATCGAAGAAAATGGAAAAATAACTCTTGAAAATCAGCAGTCAAGTTGGGTAAAATTCGGTAGTCATTTTATGAATGTTCTCAATCTTCCACCTGCTTTATCATGCCTGTAATTGTTTTTCTTCTTGCAGTTGTTTAACTTTCGAAAAGCTTTAATTAAAAGATTCACTAACAAATTTAGACAGTTCGTTCACCCTACATTTAATAAGTGACAAATTGACAAGTTTGTCGATTGTCTGGCTCAGCTAGATCTAAAGCACTAATTTTGTGAATTTGACTGAATCGAGCTGTCGACAATTCCTTTTAACTATTTGAATTCTCAACTATTCCAGGAAAAGCAGTGTTTTCAATATTTTGTCAGAATATATGATACAATGATTGGCCAATCAATTATGTCATTCTCATAGACTTCTACCACATTGGCCAATAGTTTTTTCTAGTGATAAGTACAAATTTTTTTTAATATTTTAGGGGGCCGTTGTTGCTGGAGGAAATTCCGAATGGAATGAATGACGAACTTGATAAATTGAAAAGTAATGAAAGAAAGAAAATAGAAAAGAAAAAAATAAAAGGAACTGAAGAAATTATTCAGTTACGAGAAGTTGAAGTAAGTAATTGGCAGAGAGAAGTAATTGTTTTAATTAATAACGTATTAAGGGTCGGCTGTTCACAAAATTGGGAGAATGGCAATGTCAAAGTGGCAGTTGAAGTTATACTTAACGCTTTTTGCTTTTTTATATTCCAAAATGTTTTTATGTTTTTGCTTGGTAAATGGAATACTGTGAGAAGTTCCGACGATGAATATAAAAATATGAATATGAATATGAAAAGTTCCGACGATTATATTTAATTTTTTAAAAGGATTTTTGAACCCATGAAAATAGACAAAAAAGAAATTTTGTAGTGTGAAATCTCAAAACAAATGAAATATGTTTTTTAGGAGGAAGAATTACAGCGACGAACGGATCCGCTTGCTAAGCAGCTTGATAATGTCATGCATTGTTTGAAAAGTTATTTAAAAGTGCATAATACGAAGTCAATAAATTATTTCGAATTTTGCTTCCATCCGACAGATTTCTCACGTTCTGTGGCAAATGCCTTCTATACATCATTTTTATTGAAGGAAAATAAAGTTGGATTGGATGTTGGCGATGACAATGTGCCACGTTTAAGTAAGTTTGCGATACATAATAAATTTCTTTTTTTGAAGTTGTGACACATTTGTAATTTCAAAATTAGAATTTTTTAGGTTTAATCAGTAACACTGAACGAAAAGCCCTTGAAGACAGTGTTGATCAGGATAATCGTGGTGTTATAAGCTTTAGTTATAATGATTGGCAAGAAGTAGTCAAATTGTTGAATATTAGGGAGCCTGTTATAAGTGATTATTAACATATTGGTTCCAATCAAATTTATGATTTAAACGTATCGTTTCTATGCCATTATCTGCCGTTCTTTTTCTCTGGGCTAAATTCTTATGCTCTTAGATTTACGTATTTTTATCTCTCCTTGGATGCATATTCCATGTTAGAGCTTTTCATGTTACTAAATAGAACTTATACCTGTCATATTGTTTGCCATTACTTCAGAATTTGCTGTTTTTGGTTTTTGCTTGAGCTAATTTTCGAATTTATCAAATCTCTCATCTGTGAGTCATAAAAATACTGTTTGAATCAGCTTTCAAAATCCTATTTGAATTGGAAAATCGAGCATTATATATATATATATGCATGACTTACCATATTTATAAAAAATTAACTTTTAAAGAATCTAGCTATGTTACTGATTATCTCATGTACGATACTTTATTTTTGACCGATCTCCATCAATGATCCTATTATTTATTTTCTTGTTTGCTGATGCATGATTTTATAAAAATTTTATTGTTCTTTTTTTAATTTATGATTGTATTATGCGCCGTTTGCAGACATATTTTGGAAATTCTACCTCAATTTTGAAAGGAAATTCATCATTTACCTCCTTGATTTAGTAATTCTGTGTGTAAATTTTAATTCATAGAAAAATTTTGTAAGATTCATTCTTATAAATTGTTCTTAAGATAAAAGTAGCACATATTGAAGATTTTGAAAACGGCTCATTTGGAGTGTTCATATGACTTTCATTCTTACCTTTACTCTTTGTTTCTTTTTTTAACTTATTTTCGTCCATTGAAATTTAGTAATCCGTGTAAAGATTTGAAGAGGAACAAATTTATGATAAGTGTTAAGATGATGCTTGTACTCAATATTATGTAGATAGAGAATTTATCATTTATCATCAATTACCTCGTATTATTTTAGCCTATCGACAATCATGTATGCACATATGTATGTATATATTGACAGATTTTTAATTTCTTTTTCATATTTCTTTTTGTTTGTCGATAAAAGATACAGATACTGTGTTTCAAAAGTTTCTTCGGTAGTAGTTTTCTTTGATATTCATAATGCTTTCTTGGTTTATGCATCGCAATGCTGCATCTATAGGATAATTTTTTTCTTTTGATTACTGGAAGTTGTGCTTTATCGGTATTATACCTGTTTGTCATATTTAAATCAGAAAATTATCTTTCCTTTGAAGGGGATAGAAATGAAAAGGAGGAATGTAAAAAGTTCGATAGATCATACTGGGGATATACATTGTTCTGTCAATTTCTCTTTTGAAATGGTTGAGGTACGTAATGGTGAAGTGCACAATATCCAAAATCTCTTATTCGATCAACGATTCACGTTGGTCGGACGTTGTGGTAGAATCGTATGATTTTATCGGTGTTACAGAAGCAGCCCAGCCGATAGAATCATGTTATGAGAGACGGGAATTTGGTAGGTCATTTTAAATATTATATCATAATTTTTGAAAAATGCATAGATTACAGAGAGAGATTTCTGATTTTTAAATCAATTTTTTGTTGTGAAATGACAGTGTGGAATTAAAATTAGCAAGTGACCTGAACACTTAAATGTCACATGAATTGTTTCTATCATTTAAATAAGTTGTAACATTTTTACGCAGCTTTACACTAAATTACTTCGAAAGTAGTTAATTTTATTTCATTGATTTCTTAGCTAATAGCGTTTGTGCAGTCGAACTGCGCTGTCTTTACATTTGTTTTACTGTACATCTTTTTAGCTTTCTCAATTGCTCTTTTTTTTGGAGTGTAAACAATGGTTTATAAATGATAATGTTGCAGGTCTTACATGTACAGTTTGTAAAACACCAATTGAAGAAGATCGAGCTGACTTAATAGCACATTATAAATCTGAGTGGCATCGGCATAATCTTCGTCGGGTCTTGCAAGGACGGCCAGTGCTTACCGAAGATGAATTTGAGCAAACAATATCCGACAATAGTTGGTTATTGAAAAAAATTAGTCAAAAATCAAAAAAACATGATTCAGAATAGATGCAGCTGAATAGTATTTATATTAATTGAGAAAACTGATTTGGACTAAAGCTTAAGTAGTTGCATCTTAAATATTTTCATACGTTACAAATTAGGTCAAGACTTATTGCGTAGCTTCATATTAAGTGAAATTTAATTTCTTGTTAAATAGTCTTTCATAATTTTTTTTGTCGTATGAATATTAATGCTTAATTTGTGTTCATCAGATAAAAAAAGAATTAATGAGATTTTTATTCTAGATCAGCTTAGCCCATTGGATACAGAAAGTGATGATGAGATAATGCCACTTACTGGCGGAGCTCATGCTTATTTCATAAGCGAAGGAACAGTGTATTCTATATATCGATGTATTTTGTTGAAAAATGAGGTTATATCTCAAAATTTATTTCAACGTCCATTAGATTGTTCTATTTTGCTGCTTTCTGCTGGCCATTTCTGCGGCGGTATTTTCAAGAAGTAAGTACTGGTTCAAACAATGATGAAATGTTTAAACTTGAATTTTTGCTCCATGAGAATTAATATGATCTAAGATTATGAGAAATTCTGGTTGAGAGGAGCAAAAAGTCGTAATTTAAGTTGTTCGACTTTGACGAGATTTATATTAGATCTATCAGAGCCTCTATTTATTTAGCAATAAGAAATAACTTGGTCACGCCTGCGCGCAGCACAACATCCCCAAATTGAAAGGAACTTTATTAAACGAACTAAGTATTGTGTATAGTAAACTGGGAAAACTATGAACATATGTATGGAGAAATAAAACGTCAGCTCGACTTTCTAAATCACAAACTGGAGGCAGTAAAGGAGTCTATATATTATGCATGAAATACCAAACACAATAAAGTTAGTTTTTGGTGCAGAAACATAGTTCCCGATTTGAATGATCTGTAGGTATACGAGATTTACGAAAATTCTTGTTTGGATTTATCCGTTATTTTACTTTAGTCATGAATTGGTTGTACATAAAAGTTTCCATCGCTATGTTGTCCGAGCGAAACAGGGAACAGCACAGTCAATATCCGATGCGCGTGGATCTGCAGCGAAAAGTGCTGGTGCCTCTGTGAGAAGGTTGAAATTTTTTCGAGAGATTTTGAAAAATTGATGGGCATGTCGTCGCTAGTTAATAAGAATGAGTATGGAGTTAATCCGAACGGAAACATTTCTTACTCGTCAAAATACTATTCCAGTGGATCTGCAATGTAATTAATTGACCATGATCGGTTGCTAAATATGTTGTGCGATGTAACAATTAATACATTACTATGAACGGTAATGCTCTCTTTATTAGTCAGGAAGAGAGTATCTCGGAGCTATGTAAATTAACTCCAATGATTTTTCTTCCATTTTGGCTTGGTCAATAAACCTTTACTTGTAACAAAACATTTTAATTCAAATCATATTAATTATTGAATCACCTGAGCACATTAAAATATGTTACACTAAGCATTGGAAGAGCAAATTTGTATAAAAGTAGCACATGTCCACCCATTTAGAGAAGACATAATACAGCGTCAGCTTCTGATGATTTAATTTAATCTACGACAGTTGAAATATTAAAAAGATATGAAGTCACATAAGCTCTGGAAGTTACATTCTTTTTTAATTTTTCAAGTTCTGGCTTCACATTTTTTTAGCAATGTGTCATCTTTTTAGATATAACGAAAAAGCTTTAAAAGACGAAATTCAATGTTTGTTGGCGAATTGGTCGAAGTTATTGGAACAAAGTCCATTAATATTTCTGCGTTGTCCAATGTCGCTAAGGCAATACATTCTCTTATTTTTCTTTCCTCTCAAAATTATTTAAAAAAGAAAACACAGACTTATCATGTACGATATATAATGTTTCTTACCATTTTTGTTTTTTGCTATATAACTAATGTTTGATACATACATACAGCAAATCAATTCGCCTAACATTTGCTAGTTTCGATGTAATTATATTTGTATAGTATTGTACTTGTATCAGTGCCCAGTCTGACTATCAAGCCCGTAATACGCGTTGATTCATCAAGTGCGGTCACTCATTACTCCTAGGCGACTTAGTACCAGACGGCCGAACCGTTAATTAGTAAGCACATTAAAAAATGGCTTAATAATGTGAAAGCATGCTTGATACATCAGGAATCTAGAGGTACTATCGTTTTCTTATTATTGGTATTTGGATGACATTTAATATTCCCACTTTTTGCCAGAATACACTTATTTTACTTAGCTTCTATTAATTCTTGAAAACCCGCATTTTTCAGGAAGACTAGGTGATGCTAAAGATTTACATAATGCAATTCTTTCGTTATAGTGTAGTATAGTATTGTCCGTATTGCAGGCATGTCTTTTTTGAACAAACGAAAAATTTCAAATTAGAAAAATGTGATGAACGTTTGAGGACAATACCATTTGAAACACGCCGACCAACGGTGGACGAGCTACAGCGAACATGGTCAAGATTGAGTATGTTTTTTTGATTTCGTTTCTACCCTATCATTTTTTTTTTAGTTACCAGATTTCATGGCATAAATTTGTGATAATCGTGTTATTTGACTTGTAAAGCCCAATATGGGGTTGCACTTTTCTTTTGATGCTTTTTGTAACTCTTGCTTATTAAAAATATATCTGCTGTTCAATGTTAGATCAGAACTGGATAATAACCGTTTGTGACAATAACTCGCCCATTGCTATGAATTTTTGTTGTTACGGATAACAAGGATTAACTGAAATTTTCAGAAATTTTTTTTAGTGAGATAACGATTAAATTATATTTGTAGAACTCATTCGTTCACACGGGTCAATAGTTGATTTTAATGAAGAACAAGAAAGGCTTAGAAAGTTACGCAAGAATCGGAGACGATTGTTTCGGCGCAATATATCAGGAGTAAAATATCCGTCCAGTGAATCTTCTCTCGAATCAGATAATAATGACAACATTATTGATAAAATGAAGCAAGCTGAAGTAATGAGGAATATACCACATGTAAAATTTCCTTTCATTTTTTGTTTGTAACAGTCTAATTTTAATTTCTTAATCAGTGGGAAACAAAATTCGATGAGAATTCTAAGAAGATCATATGTTTTTTAATATGGAACTGCTCATATCGCCGCTGTTTTTACGAAGAATTTTCTGTCGTCTTGATTCTTCTTTAATTTTTAGATGGTGAAATAGTGGAATTACTGCCAAAGTTTTTCGTAGAGATTTCGTATTTGTGTTTCAGGAAGAAAACGAAAATTCGGAACAACAGGAGACAGCAGTGAGTCTTTTGAGTAAGACAAATGCGCAGGCTTTGTATACCTTTATTCGCATGAATTCGGTTTCTAAGTTACGCCAACTGCTAGAAAGCAGTGGGGAAATGAAAGAAGATTTCTTGAAATACATCCGAGAAACGACGTTTCCACCAGCGTCTTCAACTTTTCTACATATTGTGGCGAGAAGAGGTACAGTGGAAATCCTGGAAGTACGTGTTCATGTATTATACAGGTATTTAGGTCTTTTGACAAAGATTTTTGCGAATGATACTAGTAATTGATAAAACTGAATAACCTCTGCGTTTTCTTCTCTTATGAAGTAATGTAATTGTTCAACATAATTTTCAGGAACTCTTATTGTTAGGGTGTGATCCAGCGGTGAAAGACAGTGAAGGGAAGGTTCCTTATCAGGTATTTTTTTCTTGATTTCTTTAAGAGTATTTTATTAACATATTTACCATAATATCATAGAAAATGACGTTTGTTCTTGATTTCGGAGCTTATCATGTTAGGTCGCACAAAATCGAACAGTTCGGCAAGCGTTTAGCAAATTCCGTTCCGAACATCCCGATACATTCAACTGGAATGCTAGCCAAATACCAGAACTGGCAACCTTGAGTGAAGAGCAATTAGCGAAGGAGGCAGAGAAAAAACGAATTCAACGCGAAAAGAAAAAGCAACGGGATAAAGCTAAAAAAGCTGCTCATTATCAAGAGAAGATAGAGCAGGTAAATGATTTTGCATTATCATTTTTTATTCAAAACTAGCGAAGTGTTTACATACCAAGAATTTCAGAGCATCTGATCAACTTTATTTCAGGAACAGCGTCAAAAATATTTAGCACTTTCCGATCGGGAAAAAAGAGCCCTTGCTGCAGAACGCCGGATTGCTACATCTTTGCAAAAATGTTGTCAAATTGTTGAAAATGATGGTGATCGTTGTTTCAAGGTCAGCCGCTATTTGATAGAAATTATTAAGCTGGGAGCAAGAAATTATAACTACAACTTTAAAATTTTTCGAACTAACTGAGTTTTCGATATATGTTTGGAATAGCACCCATATTTTACTTATTCAATATGTTGTTGTCATTATTTCATTATTAGCGCCATCTGTACCTACAGCTGACATTAGTTTACTTCTTTTGCAGCGATTAATAATTGAAATTATCATTATTAATTTTGCCTATTGCTTTATTTCAGTGTGGTGCAGTTCTGGTTCCCAAGCATTTTGAATATTGTGATAATCATTTCTGTTCACTCGCTTGCCTGCAACAACATCGGCAGGAACATCCGCCTCAACTTATATCCTGATAGTAGTGCAATAGTTTATTTTACTGCCATTTAATGATTGTTTTATTCGAAGTTACTTAAATAAATTTTGCTTAAAGTTTCAAGAAATTTTATTTGGTGATGTTTATGACATAAGAAATATATATATTATACACTTGCTTAGAATTTCCAGTTTGTTTTTATAGACCATCCAACATTTGTACCTGAGGGAGCCATATCTGCTTAATAGTTAAGAATTCAATCAAGTCAAAGTTATAAATCTTAGTTGATAATAGCTAGTGTATGCATTTTCGTGAAACATAATTTTTTTTAATAAATCGTGAAGGTGAGAAATGATGCATTGCACTAGAGGTTCTAATTGTCAATGACTTCCTAAAATCGCTTAGTAATGAACTGTTTTGCTTTGGGTTAAGACTATTTTTTGAGGGCTGTCGGAAAAATCTACTGATTATATTTTCAGGAGATAGCACTTCTTGATATTTATATTTATGCAGACTTTGTTGCCCAGCATTAGTCTTACTGGAAAGTTTGAAAAACATTAGTCACATTTCCGTTTGTTCATTCCAAGGTCCCGCTTTTTTGGACGGGTTTTGGCACAACTTAGGATGTCATCACTGGCCAAACTGTTGAAGTAAGTGATTTTTTTTCTCAAGTGTTTATCTGAGCTTTCTATTTTGTCATGCAGAACAAAAGAACTTTAGAAAAATTTTTGAAATATTTTTCGATAATTTTTTATTTGGTGAAATAGAAAATAAGATAATCTCGTTCTTTCAATATTATAATGCATGGTTTGATTTTTTCTTGATTAAGCAATGCTTTTATTCCATCTAAAGCAGTTAAGGAAGTAATAACTTCCTCTATGACGGTGTCGTGTAAAAACAAATTTGCTTTTATCAAAACCCTAAATGATTTAACTGGAAAACTGGCATTCGAAATATTGAATTTCCTACCTGTTATCGATTTTGAAAGCCCTGAGATTTTACATTACACACGATTTTTGATTGTATGAAATATCCATTTCCAGTGTGCCTGACGATGGTCCATCTGTAGTATATTTGACAAAATTGGATTTCAATTATATTGAATTTCAAAAAGTTATGTCCTAAATAATTTCATAAGACTTTTTTTTCCTGTTTCTCTTGCTATTATTGACACTGTATTTGTGCAGACAGAGGAATAATTTATTCAAATCGGCAATATCAAATGTACAGAATAATTATTTGAATGAACAGTGTATCATAGTTGATGAAAATGATAATCCTTTGCGTTCTGGATCTAAGCAGCTCTGTCACTCAGCCAAAACATGTAAGTTATTTTGAAAAATTATTAGGTGATATTTTTCTTATTGGCAGATAGAAATTCAATCCTAACGAAAGTTCATATTATAAAGGATTCTGTTTGTTCTGTATTGAAGGGATATCGCTTGAGAGAATTCAATATTATAAGTATCGTTTATGTAATAAATTATTTATGATAATATTGGAAGCGAATCTGTCTTTGCTCCACACAGTAATACAAGTAGTCTTCCTATCCATGTAATTTAGATGTAGTTAAGCTGTGATTGGTGTAGGTATTTTGCAAGTTTTACTTTTCTGTTTTCAGTAGCCCTACATCGTGCGTTTAGCGTTTTTTTGTTTACGAAAAACAATGAAATGATCCTGCAGAAACGAGCTGCTCAGAAACTGACATTTCCATCTGTGTGGACAAATGCGTGCTGTAGTCATCCTTTGTGGAATGAACATGAAATGTGCACTAACGAGAATATTGGAATTCGACGAGCTGCTAGAAGAAAATTAAATCATGAATTAGGCATTCAGCTTGTTGACATTGATCAAATGAAGGTGAGAAAATTTGAAAATCAGTTCTTTCAATAAATTTTAGCGGATTTTCGGAATTCGGTGCTATCTTATTAGTTATTAAATGATGTTTACCATAACTTTGCACTAGGATTTGCTGCTGAAGTTAGCGAGGCATCATAATATCATTTGGCTTTAAATTTTCTGGGAAAGGAGTATTTGGTATTTTATGAGGTTTATGATGACTTGTCTCTGTTTCAGATCATGGGCCGATTCATGTACAAAGCAATGCATGACGATAATTGGGGTGAACATGAACTTGATTATGTTATTGTTTTGCGTGATTGTGACTTTAAACAGATTAAACCAAATCCGGAAGAAGTTGAAGCAGTAGCTCTTGTTACATCAATGGAGGAGTTGACTGAAATCCTGAAAAGTATATTCTCTACATTTTCGTAAACCTTTACAATAATAATTTAGAACAGTATGCTTTTTACTTACTCTACGTTATTGGGGAGAGTACATTCCGTATAAGTATAAGCATCGGTGTAAGTGTTTCTCTTGTTTTTCAATTCTCACAATTATTGATGATTTTTTCTGTTCTCAATGCGCTTCATTTCAGGTAATGAAGCTTCATTCTCTCCTTGGTTTAATTTATTCGTTCGAAAGAATTTTTTGCGAAAATGGTGGCATAATTTGGATTGTTTGGATGAATTAAGGGATTCTCAAACAATATATCAACTAAATTAACCATATGTTAATTTAGTACCATCCGTGCTTTGTCTACAGGATTTTTACGGATGAACTGCAGAAAGCAGTTATGGTGATAGATTTTCGTGGGAAATATGCCAAAAATATTGTACCTGCCTTTAGTTTTATTGAAATTATTACATATAAAGAGAAAAAAGTTCAAGAATTGATGCTTTGTTATTATTATCGTTCAGAAGCACGATTTTTTTGGAAAATTTCTGCATATATTTTTTTATATCGACGTTCATTATTGGTTGCTTTTATTTACGTGCATGCATTTATTTGTTTACATTCTTATGATTTCCTTCTTCACATTGATACGGCTGATCAATTTTCTTGAAAAGGCGTTATGGATTATATTTAAGGTCAAAAATAGCGAAAGAGAACAATGTGTTAAATTTCATTTTCTTGTAATTTTTTAATTTGAGAGCAATATGAGATTTACAATGACGCAAAATAAGGAAGGCAGATAGATGTTGCTGACATCTGACTAGCTATGATCGGTTTTTTGCATTTATGTAAAACTCGCATTTTAATCATTTGAATTTAAAACATGTGTCAAAGTGATCTTAGGCATAATGCACACGGTCTGGGCACGTGGCAATGCAATATTTGCGTTCTTGCTTTCTGTCTTATCAGTATTAACATTTTGCGTTATCATATCCACCGTTTGGTTACCGAATACGGCACCAGTTACTTTATCCGCGAATAATGTCCGCGTGTAAGTTCCTTGCTGCTGATTTCTTTCTTTCCCATCTTGATGATTCAATCTAAGCTAACTAGGGCATAGAGTAGATTAGAGTTATATGTCAAGTAGAGAGATTTATTTCACTAAGAGTATTATACCGTATCTTATTTTATGGATTGTCAGTCATTTTCTTTGGTAGTTGTATTGGTGCACTGCGACTACTTATAGTTCCATAACCTCAGGAATTCGAGGAATTACAAACTACATTTTGATCTTTATACAGAGAAGTTATGAGTTTTAGAAAATGATGGGGTGGATTTCAGGAAGAATTTCGTAGATTATGCATCGGAAAATTCACGAAGTGATGTAGTAATGGCAGAATTGAATATAAAAGTTGATGTTGCTCCGATATTTAACTGGAATGTTAAAGAAATCTTTATGTTCCTGGTAGCAGAGTACAGCACACCAAAAACACCTCTTAATCAGGTAGCTTTTTTCCTCATAAAGTCGGTTTCAGGTTTCATATGACATTTTGAATTTGAAAAAAAATGAAATCTTTCCGCAGTACATCAATGTCATTATTTACGATTGTAATGTTGCTCTTACCATCTAAATCCTTTATGGTCGTTTTAACATACGGGAGAAAAAGATTGCTTAATTTTAAGATAAGGTATATAATGTAAATATATTCTCCGGAATAGTCATATGACAGTGGATTTTTACTTCTCTTTAGTTCTGCAATTACCCTAAAATTAAGATTCTGCTATGATAACTACAGATTGTACTCTGGGACAAGGTTTTGAGACGTGGCGAATGGTCGAAGATACATGAGGAAAGTATTACACCGAAATATTACTTTATGGATGATGGTACGAATCTGTTGAGTCATAAAAATGTAACGCTTGTACTGAGATGGAATGTGGTACCGAATGCAGGTTACCTAGCAATGGCGCAAGGTGAAGGACAGTACCGGGTCGAATTTCCGTCCAATTATTACAGTGGTCGATTTTAGTAGACATACATAATATTAACATCAAATTTCTGTCTGTGATTATTGTTTTGTTACTTTCTTGGATCATGTTGTTTTTCAGATCTTCACAAATCCAAACTTGAATTATATCTTTACCAGTACATTTGTATCGATAGCAAAAAACTATTAGACATATTTATCTTCCAGCTTGATTCGTTTATGTAGCCACATTCCTTTAATATTCAAAAAAGTCGATGGCTGGATGAAAAAAGTTTGGATTTGTATCTCCTGAATGATCAATTATTTTTTTATTTCTAGGCAAATATGTAATGGGATATAATTTTTCGATGTAAGGTATTTTGTGAATAAATATTAATAACATAAACATGGCCTATTCTGCATCCATTTCCTAAAAAAATAATATAAAAAATGGATGAAAAGGAAAGAAAAGATGGATTCCATGCTGCCAACCATAGCTAGAGACAAATTACAGATCATTCTTATTCCCAGCAACAGAGAGTCCAACACGAAATCCTAATCCTACTAGCAAGGGTCTTATCGATAGCAACCCTCCACCCACAGCATGCAATCTCCTCGTCCTTTAGGTTTGTAGCAGCATTCCTGCCCGGATGGTATTTTGCGGTGTATATTTTTGCTATGTGTCTTAAATTGGCCCTTTGAAAAAATTGAATATGATCTGAATATTATGTACGTTATGTCACAGCGTTACGTCATTTGTTTTTCAAAACATAACCGCAGTTACTAGGTAGCGACATTCCTACTGTAACCTTTGCTTTGTTATGTTTTTCATTTATTCCACATATATAAGTTTACCTGTCATTTATCGGTAATTGGGAACATCATACATCAGATGTTAATGTGCATGTTGGAGAGGATTTGTAATGGAAAAAATTTAGGATAATAATATGACCATATGCGTTAGATATTCCTAGATGGGCTTCCTTAATGTGATGATATACCGAATACTTTTTCGGAAATAGGAAGATCTACGATATATAATGTTATTTCGCGCAATTTCATGTATGAAACGAAATTAGGCAACAGATTCAACATTAGAATCTACTGATGGCAGATCGAGAATTATCATGCAATGTTATGTCAGAAATAATTTATAAAGCGTATAATTGAACTATTGAATTTTCAGAGTGATGATTGTCTGCGATGAGAATATTTAAAAAATGTGGTCCGAGGGTAGAAGGATCAGAAGTGGATAATCGCAAACAACGAAGCAAACCGCTGTGATAGTTGTACCATTCAATTATTCTTCTCGAACTATGGTTCGTTTTTTTCACCATCTTTCTCTTTTTTCCATAAATAATTTTTTGTTCGTGGATAATGTCTTGTGATTTAGCTCAATATAAACTTAAAATGAAAACTCCACGTGAGAATGACGTTACGTGGAAATTTTTTAACCGGGTAATTATTCATTTATCAAAAATTAATGCACTGAAGAAAAAACGTTATATTTTCATTTTATGAAATCGGCTTGGAATTTCGCAGTTCTGTCTTTATTACAGATATGTGATACACTTAACACTAAGTGAACGAAATCTTACACTTAACTACATGTTCATGTCATACTAAATTTCTCATTTTTGCGTTTGCTTAACAACAACAAAGTTCAGTTGCATTCATGTAATGTTATACTTGAAATAGGCATGAATAAAAGTGCATTAAGGCGTTAAATCATGTTTTTTTTGGTTGATTTCAGGGTGCGAATGCTTCATCTCAATTGGAAAAGGAAATCGGTTCGGATCACTTATTGAGCAATGAACATTTCTATGGATTAGTCAATGTTTGTATTAAAATTGTTTCTGCAAAAAACGGGAAAAATTCCAGCAGTTAAAATTTTTGATTAGATTCAGTTGGCAAAGTAAAAAAGAAATTATTTTAGATCGAGCAGTTAGCAAACAATTTTAGAGTTTGATTTCTCGATAAATTTGTTAGTTGTTTGTATATTTATTATTGCATTTCCCTGTTTTATTTCAGTTCGGTAATACCTGTTATTGCAATTCGGTTATTCAGGCACTTTATTTTTGCCGCCCATTCCGTGAAAAAATTTTGCAATATAAGCAACAGCTGAAGAAATCATATGATAAGGAATCAGGTCGTATGATATGATCAACATTTTAAGATAATTAAGCGCACATTTTTTAACAGTTTAGTATTTTCCTATTTCATCCGTATTCTTTTATTAATATTTATTCATTAATTTTCCCTTTTTTCTTCGAATTCATTGATTTTAGGAAGAGAAAAAGACAATTTATTGACTTGCCTTGCTGATCTTTTCCATAATATAGCGACGCAGAAGAAACGAGTAGGCACGATTGCTCCGAAAAGATTTATTACCAAATTGAAAAAGGAAAATGGCAAGTGCACGATGTGTTTATATCCGCTTTTTATTTATTAAGAGAATAAATCATTCTCAATTATCGGCGAAATTTCTTCGTAAAGGGAAACAATTATTCTTTGTTGTCTTCTGGATTTTATTTATTAGGAAAATTGATACTTTCATGTCCTGAAATATTGAGAATTTATGAAAAAAATGGTCTGTTTCGTAGTGAAATTAGCATTAACTACTAGATTCACTTCGAAATAGACCATTTTTTTCATAAATTCTCAGTATTTCAGGGAATTTTCTCAACTTTTATTATTAGCTTTAAGGCAGCGAATTTCCTAGATTTTTCTTAATAGCTTCAACTAATAATCTCTTAACTCTCTCTTACTGTTAACTCTCTCTTACTTCTTTTTCCTGACTAAGTTTTCTTGAGAGAGGCAAAGGTTTATGCAGCCTGCAGCCTTGCAAAAGTTTGAGAAGAACCGTAAATTATATATGCATTATTTCAGGTATATTTGATAACTTTTCGCAACAAGATGCTCACGAATTCCTAAATTATTTGCTAAATACAATATCAGAAACGCTTGCTGAGGAAAAAAAGGTCGAAAAAATGGAAAAAATGCTTCGTACAAATGGGATGACTAAGAAAGGTTCCAATGTTGTCGTTCCACCATATGAACCACTGGCATTCTGTCAACCAAGGTAAAAAACTTTTCATTTTCAATCTTTTCTTGATTTTAAAAATCTGTCTGAAATTTCGAAATCAGGATAGAATGAACAACAGTTTTTTTGAAAGAGAATTTATATTTTGCATATATTAGCAATTATAGAAAACGAACGTGACTATTCTTTAGTCTTATTTATTGTTGTTTTTATATTTTTACAAATTAGAGAATGCTTTGAATACTCTTCCTCTAAGTAAACTTATCTGGCTCAATTTGAGTGGCTCAAGAAGTGACGCTACATGGATTCAAGAAATTTTCCAAGGAACTTTAACTAATGAAACACGTTGCCTTAATTGTGAAACGGTGCGTTTTTTCAGCAATTTGTTCTGTAAATGTTTTTTACTATTTTTTTAGTTTTTGAGAAAAATATAAATTTCTAGGATTATATCTCGAAATGAGGCATGGATTTTGCATCATTTGGGGAGTTAAGCGACTTGTGAAATGTATCAAGCGTATTAAAAATTCTTATAATCGTATTCTGACAGCATCCATTACTACTTGTTTAATGAATTTTTTATTAAAGTAACACAGAATTAATATTTTAATCTTCTGGAGGGTTTAATTAATTAGATCTCTTTGCTGCAGTTCTTTTAATTTTTAGTTAAAACATAATTTGTTATGTGATTTTTTCCTTTCAAAACTTATTAAAATTTTACATCTTTGAAACCTTTTGCACATGGCGGTTCTCGAAAGAACTGTTGATTTGATATTCATCACCTGTCATTGAACGGAAAAAATACGTTTATTAAACTATAAAAATGAATTGTCTAGATTGCTGCATAATTCATTTTTATGCTGGAATGGTAGTTTTCAAATGAATGAGTGATACTGCACGTCTCCAATATTTGAAACGTAGTTAAAATATGAAAAAAGTTTAGTTTTTTCTTCGATCAATTAAAATAATTATACCCATCTCTTATTATTCAGGTATCAAGCAAGGATGAAGATTTTTTGGATCTAAGCGTTGATGTTGAACAGAATGCATCAATTACCCATTGTTTACGCGTCTTTTCTGATATGGAAACATTACAAGGAGAACAGAAATATTACTGTGAAAATTGCTGTTCAAAGCATGAGGTTATTACCTGCTTTCGAGCGATTTTCGCTTCATATTTAATGAATTTCATTGTAGTAATTCGTTATTTGCTTCTTCTTTTGTGTTTATAGCAATGTCTNGTAATCTATGGTAAAAAGTTCAAAATTTTGCAGGCTCAAAAACGTATGCGTATTAAAAAATTGCCGCAGATGTTAGCATTGCATTTGAAACGATTTAAATATGTAGAACAAATGAATCGCCATACAAAATTGTCATATAGAGTACTGTTCCCGCTCGAATTACGTCTTTTCAATGTGGTAAGTAATTATATTTGAGCTCATTTTTTGGTTGAAAAATGAAATTGAAGAAGTGACTTGTTGAGGAGGTCTACTTTTTCGAAGTCCTCAATCTTAACATCATCTTTGCAATTCTACTTAGTGCTGATATCACTGGTTGTAGGAAAAGTATGCTAGAAGTTTGTGATAAGCAATATGAACTTCTGTTATAGAAATACCGAGGACATTCTCAGCAAGATCGAGTGATTCACATAAAACTCATGATTTAAGAACAATATGACTTACGGTGGAAGATCGTACTTAAAAAAATTGAGGTGTGTGGAAAAAAACATTTTATAGCTCTCGAATGATGCTAGCTTGATCCAGTGGTGTCGGGGTCTCCAAGGCTTCATTCCTGTATTATTTCTTGAAAATATATGATTTTTTTTTTTTACTTTCATTAGTTTGATGTTTGTTCAGAGTGACGATGCAGTGAATAGGGATCGTCTGTATGATTTATGTGCAGTTGTGGTACATTGTGGTTCTACGCCAAATCGTGGCCATTACATTACGCTTGTTAAATCGCACAATTTCTGGCTTCTTTTCGATGACGATATAGTCGATGTAAATGATTTCACAATTTTGGAAGGAAGACTTTATAAGAAACTTTATAAGGAATGAGAGTTTTCCGAAGAATTAGTCTGCTATATTTTTCAAAGATTTTACGAGAGTAGGAATAACGCTTTAAGTATAACTGTAAGCTTTCGTATCTGTTGCAAAAAATAATTGATTTACAGAAAATTGATCCCATGGCGATTGAGGATTTTTTCGGTCTTTCGGAATGTGGTGTACAAAAAAACAGTGAATCTGCATACATCCTATTTTATGAAGCGAGGGATGCTGCGAATATAGACGTCAAAGGAGGAGCTGGACAAGTTGCTAATTCTTCTATTTAGTTATTTATTCAGATACCCTTTGTTCAAAAATAAATATTACGATTTAGTTGAAGCAAGAAAGGGAACTTTTTCTTAATAAATCTCTGGTATTTATTATCAATGTAAATTTAGTTCATAATTTGAAGAAAACACGTAAAGAATGGTTTTCTGGAATCTAGCCAATTTCTTTTCTAGTGAAATATACCAGTGTAATTTCAAGGCAAGCTATGTATGAAGTTTGAGTGAGAGAAATGAATTTTGTTAAAAGTTCTCTCAATCAGTGTAGCAGCTTAAATTCATGTTGAATAGAGCAGCATTATTGATTGAATCGTTGTATTTCTTGTATATACTGTTATAAAGTAGAAGAATCCGAAGCTTCTGTACTTTTTCTTTTCGATTATTTGCAAATGCAAGATTTAAAGGATAAGAAATCGTAAATAAGTACGGTAAAAATTTATAGTTTCGAAAGTTGGTTTTTAAATTTCCAGTTAATTTATGTGCATATAGCTAAAAATGACTCAATGATTTTCTTTAACGCACATTCAGGTAAGCTGGTGTTTGTATTCGGTAAAATAACTAAATGTGATTTCATTTTAACGAACTACTTCTTGGGAAAGAGAAAGAAAATATTGTGATTTTTGGTCCTTGGCCATTATATTATATTGTGGCTTTGTTCAATGTGCATCACTTTCAGGAATTTGTGGTTTTTCCTTTTTTTCTGGAAAAACAATCTTTTCCCTTAAAATTGCTTAAATTTGTTCATACAATGGATTTTATCCGCATCGGTAATGTATTTGCTTAGTGATAAATTTAAATGTGTTATATAAAAAATTCGATCTTCGATACGTTAGCGATTTGGCAAACTATGATATATTAGAAAGTTCAAATTTACCATGAACAGATTATTGACCTTAACCAAGTAATATTAAATTGTTGAAATTATTGGTGATAATGCAAGATATGAGAGAATTTGACGGCACTGTGAATGTTATTTCGAGAATATTAAGTTGTAGTCAAATAGTGTTAAAGTTTGATGGTCGATGCCATGAGTTTCATACTAAGGTACAATTTCTGCTTGAAATATTATGTATCAACAAGAAGACAGATTAGAAGATATCTGGCAAGACTACTTCTTTGCACAATGTGGAAAATACTGGAAACTGTTACCATGCAGATTAAGCTTCGTGTTAGGAGTTTGTTATGCTGAGGACAGCGATGTGAGCGATGTCGAAACAGGAAAAATAAACTAAGAATATGGAATATTTTGTATTTCCGGAATATTTTGCATTAAGACATTCGACACATTTTTGGTAACGTAAAGCTTAGTCAATGCTTGCATATATGAATGGACCATAACTCTCTATTCATCCATCCTAAATTATATAACAACCCTTCATGCTTAGCTAGTCTCTCTGTATTATTATTACCTCCAAAAGTTCATAAATTTGACAAACACAGGAATATCAGCTGTCATTATTTCGCGGCCGCCCGACGTCTTCAAATTGACATGTTTGTCATTGAGTTCTTAGATCGTTGTCTCCTTGTTTTTATTCATTCCGTAGGTTTTACGCGGTGTTAATCTTCTGAGCTGATTTCTTTATATGAAATCAGGACTTCTAGTAAGTGTATCGATGGATTAACCGTTTCAAATATTTTTGCTTTTGCTAAATTTTATTACTCAATAATGTGAAGCACGCATTAGAAGGACATATCATATGAGGAAATTTGTATTTATCTACACGTAATTATAATGAACTCAGCATATAGCATTTGTGTATTACAAATGATTACGAAAGATTCAACGTTCTGTTACTCTTGTATGGAATTACTATGTAGCATACTTGACACATCAATGTTGGTATGCATTATAAACTTGTAGAGTATTCAAATGTTGTTATCTGTAATGTATGCTGCATGTAAAGATGTGATGCATTACATAATTTGCATATGGCATATGTAGTTTGCATTTTTTCGGCCCAAATTGTAGAAAGTGATTATCGGTTTCATCCTGATTCTAATTCTTCTATCATTCCATGGGACTTTTCGTATACTTCTGATTCTTTATCATTTTTAGTTTTCTTTTATTACTATTCTATTTGCCATGAATAAGCATTAAGTAGTCTCTTACAGTAAGAATTTCCAAAATTAGATTAATTTCCAAATTTTTCTTTAATTTTCAGACTCCAGATTGTTTCGAAATGTCTACTGCTTTAATTGCACTTCAAAATGATTGTGCACATATCAGCTAAAAGCTTGTTTTTCTTTTCTGTTGTAAAAACAAGTAACAACAAAGACGAAGTGTAAAGGTGTGCTATTAGATGTAAGATAGAGATTCATTTTAATTCATTCTTCTATAGATGAGGATTAAATAAGATTATTTACGTTTATCTGCTGCCATCATTGATTTAAATAAATCTGAGTTTGTTACGGGTGTAAATATTGCAGATTTAATTTGATAATGTCACTGGTAACGGTACAGCGTTCACCGACACCAAGTGAAAATGGCAATTTTGATCAGGTGATAATAAATTACGTTCGTTATGAAATTTTATCATTTTTGTTGATACGTAGAGGAAATTCGACTACTAATTTCAACAAATTTTGCTTGTTTTATTGAAGGAGTTTTAAACTTTAATGGAATTTAATTTTGACGCAATTTTTTTCCATCATATTAATAATGTCCATATTTTTAATATTTTTCAGGATATCGATGCATCAGAACGTGGTTCACCAACATTCAGAGAATCAGTTCTAAGTACGGAGTGTTATTTTTATGTAAAAGGCACAGCGGTGATTTTATTGCAGCCCGATCGTACAAGTGTTGGTTGTCGCAATACTGGTGGTAAGTGTTTGTATAGCTTTACTCGATATTTCGAGTCAATATACTTAAAGATGAGTAATCAGTAATCAATATATCGGTAAAAGATTCTCAGAGAATATGAATTGATTACAAACAATGAATGAACTTTAACAAACAGAAGATTAAACATGGTATAGAAGAAATTGATCATAGTAAATAAGAGGTAGTTTATGGAGTGTATAAGATAGGAGAGGGAGATTTCAGAAAAATTATCAAGATACCTCATCCCTAATAAGTTGTTTTTCTGTGTCTTAAATTTTATTGGAAATCGAAATATATATATAGCTTCTTTCGTAACTTTTCTTATATTTCAGGTGAAATTGAAGGACATTTGCAAGCAATGCTAAATATATTACCTCCTCAGGATAATCTTACAATGGCTGTAAGATTACAGCAGGCTGCAACTGAGGCTGCTAGTTCAATAAACCATGCTCGTTATTTAGCTGTTGTATCATCTAAATGTTATCGGGAGATTAACTTCCAGAATGCCCGAGAAGTTGTTTTGCTGGGTCTTGATTGTCTTCCAAATAATAAAGTCGCGTAAGTTGACTGAATGTCTGCTGCTAGCTCTAAGGTTATAATTACTAATTTCATGAAATTGAATTTTTTTAGGAAAAGCTGGCTTTTTGTTTTACGAACATAAATTCATAGATAATATATGTAAAAAGTGGTTGATTTTTTGTAATTTTTAACCGTTTTAAATAAGGTGGATTATAGGATCGGTGTGACCATTCCGGTTCATGCTTCAACCCGAGTGAGTTTAGATGGTGATGGTGGTGTGGTTGTTGACCTTGATTCATCATTACATATATTCAGGCCTGTTTCTGTTCAGGCTATGTGGACGATTTTTCAAAGATTACATAAAGTATATTTTACAGATTTTTTTTTTGAGCTAGTCAACTGTCTTGAATGGAGTTCATATCGGACCAGGCGCTGTAATCCTGTGTTATTGAAAAATGTTTTGTAGGAATTAATCGATGCACAAAATGCAAAAAGTTCAACACAGCAATTTGGAAAAACAGCGAGGCGTTTAGTTGATTATTACAATGAGCACGTATCATCAGACGATGCAATAATTACAATGTGGTTTGTTACTACAACTGCAGTTAGTGATGATTTTTCTTGATTGGTGATGGTTATTAATTTTAATCCATCATCAAACCTGTTCCTGTTGAAGCCACTGTGCGTGGTCACTTCTCTTGCTTAAAATAAATATATTAATTATTTGGAAAACTTTGAATTGCGTTGGGTAAAATCACTTTTTAGAGTAAAACAATTTTGACAGGTTTGCTTTCGTGCTTGTAATGGATATCTGTTAATTTCTCTCTTTATTGCTTGCAATATAAAATAATTGCAGTAATACTTTACTGCAAGTATTTTTTCTTTTTGTTGTTACAAAGTAATAAATGAAAAAATAATCAAAAGCTATAAAGTTACAATAATTGAAATACAAAGAAAAAAATTTCTTTGTTTATTCGAAAAACTGATTTGATTCTTCATTTTATTCTGGCAGCACTGTAGGAAAGTTTTCATTAAATTCCTTAAATCTGGTTTCTTGGATAATTTTTTAAAGTAATTTCAAATTTGAAGGGAGCGTTCGACTTCATGTTGTACTGGTGGAACTAGTAACGATTTGGGAGCAACAAGTGCGGATGCTGAGCGACTCAGTCATGATTATCGTAGTGATGACGATTCCGGTAATCGCTATTTTTCGAAATAAAATCGTTATTTTTTTATCAATGCTTGTATACATAAATTATACGTCCTGTTGTTTTCCAATCACATTCACCAGTTATCGTGCTATATCTGTTTCAGTGAAAGCTCGAATTTACGAACTGTTGAAAGAGGTGATGCAAACTGCGGATTTGGATGAAGTTACGAGTAGAGATATCCGTTTAAAGGTTGATTTTAAATTTATTCTCTTTTTATATTTATTTATGCTATTTATTTATGCTAGTGTTGTGCACTTTTTTTTTCAGAATTTGGAAATCAGGGTAAAATTGTTTAGGTAGAAGACAGCATGCATATGAAACTGGATAAATATAAAGATTTTATCAGTCGTCAAATGATGGTTATTATGGGACAGATGGACAGAGCATCACAGATTTTTCCTTACCTTTATTTGGGTACTGAATGGAACGCATGCGACTGGCAGTGGCTTGAAAATAATGGGTATGTGAATTCGACGCGCTTAAAAACTTATGTTCTAAATACTTTTAGCACATTTGTTTTGTGACCAATATATCGCATTGTAAATTTTGGTTTGTAGGTCAGCAAATTTAGTACAAAACATATTTTGTATTTAAGTAGGTAATGACACAATTGTTTTTGCAGCGAATTTGAACTTTACTTTTAAATTCACAATTTTGCATCGGGGTTGAGGAAAACCATATGTAAGTAAATTTCTGATGTTTTATTTTTTAGAATTAAATACATTGTTAATGTAACGAATGAAGTCGAAAATTTTTTTCCTGCTCGTTTAAAGTATTTAAAAATACGCGTTTCGGATGAGGCTAGTACCGAATTGTTGAAGTATTGGAATCAAACAAATCACTTTATTAAAGAAGCAAAGTAAGAATTCATCTCTTAACTTTTTAAATCTATTAAGCTTAGATTTTTTCTAATTAGGTTTCTAATGGAGAACCAAAAGTATTGATCGTTTTATGTTCACACGTATCTTTTTAAGAGAAAAAGGAGGTGCTGTACTAGTTCACTGCAAAAAAGGCATCAGTCGGTCATCGTCTACAGTGATAGCTTTCGCAATGAAGGTATGGTTACGTTTATATCTACTTTCAAACAATATTTTTTATTTATTTACTATTCGGATCTGTGAAAGATCTAAATTGACTTAGAAAAGCTGTTTCAGTCGTGCGGTGAATTGCGATATCGTAAATAAATGAAACAGCTGTGATTTATTTGACTGATAACAATCAGTATTTCCTTTTTCCAGGAATATGGATGGGCACTTTCGCAAGCAATGGAACATGTAAAAAATAAGAGGGGTTGTATTACACCAAATATTGGTTTTGTGGAACAGCTCAAGACATTTGAAGGTAACTTGCTACAAAGCAAATTTAAAATTCATATTCGGTTGTATAACCATCAGTGCATAGTCCTAATGGTTTTATTCCATCAAGGCCAGGTATTTTATGATAAAATTTTTTTGAGTGTTGCACAAATTTACTGATTAGATTGTGATGGAAAGTATCTTTCGCCAACTTTGATGAACAAAGAATATTCGTCATCATTTCTTGATCGTTAAAGTAACATCATGCTGCTCTCTGAGTGCTTAAAAAGTCATTATAAATTTTGAGAAAATTTTCATAAAGCATGTTTTGCAAGTATTTTTTTGGGAAGAAAGGATGCAATCGTGGAACTCATAAGTGTCTTCGAATAATCAATGATATTGTCTCGATTTTTGACTAGTGATTTAGCAGTGATTGAAAACTTACTTTTTGTAAGCAGTTTATTGTATCATTAGTTGTTAGTATCTTGAAAACATCCCTTATTAAATTTCTCTCAAAATATTGTTGAGAAGACGGTTTTCTATTAATTTGTCCAATCTGCGAAATAGCCGTTTCTCTGTTTTGTTTAGCCATTCATGAGGAAGGACATAGCTTTACAGTGTTGGTACCGCAGCAAAAATAAGTAAAGCAACAATTTTTTTTCAGGACCATATTGTTTGAGTTGAGCGGAAGCGCATTATATAAGAGATGTGATTTCCATCACATTTAGATTTAAATGTGGTTCTAGCCACAAATGGAGATGTAGTAACTACAATTAATACTAGATATCACTAAAGAAATTGATAAAAAAATTGCGTTTTACAACTGCTATTTCAGGTATGTTACACGCTTTCAAGAAAAGAAATCAGTTTGATATTACACCATCGACATCAGCTGAGCCTGTTGATTTAGTACGTTTCCGTCGTATAATGGACAAAAATGATAGGAATGCCATTCATGTGAGTTTTTATTGATATTTCACTATTTGTTCTCTTTGATCTCAGATTTATTTGGTTTTTTCTTTTGTTTCGTTGCTTGGTTTTACAAGCAAGACCTTATTCGATTTCATTGACGGATTTCTGATTTTATTAAGTTATATGAGGTTTTTGCCAGGATATCCTTTGACCGAAATTATTTCTATTGTTCTCATAACAAAGAAAGCATATTCACTACAGCCATGTCTTCAAGAAAAAGTAAAACTTGTGTGAACGTGCTATCAGTCATTATTTATAATGTACAATATTTTACTAATAAATTTACCATTTTCTGATTTCAGGGTGAGGAAGTTACACATACTCGTTGTAAAAGTGAACAATGTGTAGCAAGTATGGTCAAAAGTTTGGTTGGTAATTTTGAAGCGAAAGGTCGTGGCGATGTGTTCAATGCAAGTGAGCCTCCATTACCGGAACGGCGGTCAAATCGACCGCAGGTAACATTCCGATTGCAAAATATGACTGATTGGAAGTTCCGGGATCGCATAACAGTACCAGTTTCAAACAATTGCTCGAATCGACAAGTACGCGCGCTTACTATATCACAGTGATATTTATCTGAAATTTGATTAGTTAATAGGCTTTTCTGTTTTCTTCTAAAATTTTCAAAAGAGATTACGCTTCGAAAAAGAGATTATGCTAGTGAGATGCTTGTATTTTTCTTCTGCAAATTTTCACAATGAATATTAAAAAGATGTGTGGTCCTGTGTACATAAGATATCGATTAGATCTTATATTGTGGGAGAATGAATATAAGGATATTAACTTTACCGTCGCTATTCAATTGCCCAAATCAGAGTTTTGGTGCTTGGCAGTATATTACGATGAACTGAAAGTTGTAACTTTTAACTTGACATTCCGTAATTTTTGTATTGAGCAGTTTCTACTTCAATAATATTTTAAGAAATTATTAAATTACGAAAATTACTCGAAAATCGATACAGTAGGAAGCTATGATCTTGGATTTTATGCTAATATATGCTAGCATCGTTACAATAGCTATAAAGACACTGTTTAATGAAATGGAGCTGTTGTTTTTATTTTTTCGAGACTAAGCTGTACATTTGCATAGATTTTTTCAACATTTTACGCTTTCTGTTCTGAATATAATTCACTCTTGGGTTTTTATGTAAATATGTTGCGATTGCTTCTATGTTTTATTCTAGGGTACCAAAAAGTTATTTCGAATTATGTTTCCGGTGCAATTGAACACCTTGAGCGTTTTCTATAAAGATTCTAATTGGTGTCCTCCCGGACTATCTGGTAATTTGTTTAGTACATCTTAAAAAGATAAGTCGCACTATCTTCCCTACGGCTAAGTGGGGTCGAGTCCTCTCCGTTGTCAGATATCGTTTTAATAATGTATAATGTTCATTTGCTTGTGGAAATTTATTAATTGCCCTCATTTTTACAGAGGTCATATTGTATATATCATAATGTATATTTAGAAAATGACTATGAAAATTGTTTGTGAACCATTTCGAGAATTTTTGGATAATGGGCTTAAATGTTTGATTTTTTTCAGGGTTTCTAAAAGACAATTTTATGAAATTTTTAAATTTAGGCTTGACTTTATTTCATTTTGTTAGGTTACGCTAGTATGTTATTTCTTTTTATTTCAAATTGATATTTCTTGATTGAAATTGAAGTATTTGCATAATAGACTTTCGCTGGGATTTTCTTTCTTTTGTACCTACTATGTACCATTTTTGCTATGCAAAAATCTTTACATAATTTGATCTTTATATTGTTTTGCACAGTATCAATTTTCCAAGGTTCTTTCTGTATTTTCTGTATGTATTTGGTAATCATTTTGATTTGTTGGTCAATTAGTGTTAAAATTTATTTAAAAGATGAATAGGATATAACAAAAACTTGTTGAACAAAGGATTTCCGAATAACTTGGATATTATGAGATTAAATTATATTTTCCTTCATCTCACTAATAATACTGGTGTTATTATTATAAAAGATTGGGACGAATTTTGGAGAAGTTTCTTAAAAGGACAATGAAAAGAGGAGAATAAATTTGTGAATTATCTTCCGAAGTTTAACTATAACTACCTCATTCCTAAAATCTCGTGACCTACCATCACATAGCATATCCTACTCATTTCCATAGATTATGAAAAGAAAGAAGGAATTTCCAACATTTTACAAATGTATACTTTAAATTCTATTTATCTATAAATAGTAAAATTCCATATTTCAACATATAGAGCGAAACGATACCATCCCGAATTATATTAGCATTTGTCAGTAATTGTCACTGATGATAAAAGATGGTGGTATAATTTAGTTTCTTTTCTGAAGAATTCTTTTTTCATAAAATACTACATTTATTGATTGCTCCGGTAATATCACATAGAATGATAAGCCATTATTAGGTAGTAAAGATGAAAATTAACTGAAATGCTTGTATGTTAGGCATTTAATTCATAACTTACCTCTAATACTAAATTTTAACATTGCGTATTTCAATAATCGCTCTAGTGAAATTTCATTGTAGTAATTCTAAAAATCTTGCATCATAAAGTTATAGATGAATGATGAAAAAACAGTAGGAGATGTTTATTTGCTATTCATCTTTTTTTGAAGCAAATATTTAAGCTTTCATTGAAATTATATTGAACAGTTTATTGCATTCAGCTAATGAAGATAACTTTAGGCTTTTTTTTTGATTTAAATAAAATATTATTTACCTTTCCTTTTTTAAGAATAGTTCGATCAAAATCTGATAACGTAATAGTGATGATATTTGAATTTATCAAATTTATTCCCACATACAGCAATAATATTGAAAGAAAAAAGAAAGCTGGTTCTTGATTACGATCGAAATCTGATAACTTAATAGTGATGATATTTGAACTTATCAAATTTATTCCCACATACAGCAATAATATTGAAAGAATAAAAAAGCTGGTCCTTAATAGATAAATTTGATTACATTAATGAATACGAGAACTAATAATTGGCATCCCAATAATTAGCATATCAAATTATCCATTCAACAAATTAGCATATCGAATTATCATCCATTTATTGGATCTTACAATTTTCATTGGAAATTTCCATCTAAAAATAGCAATTGAAATTTTAAAAAGAAAAAAATGAAATTAAAAATAAAAATGACGAAATTGAAAAATGCAATTCATTGTGCTTATTGTTTCTTATCGTGACTCGGTTGTTTAATTGAACAGCAATATTCTACTAACTTTATTCTTCTGTGACCTATCATTTGTCAACTATATATATATTCAAGTGATAAATTTTGTGGTAAAAATAAATACTGAAAGAAAACATTCAGGTTAGTTTGCCTTTTTGAATTCAACTAAAAATGTCGAATAATTGATAAGTATTATTTATAATATATATTTATAATTAAGTATTATTTATAATTGATAAGTATTATTTATAAATTATAAATGATGAATGAATCTTACCTCTTAAATAACAAATTGATCAATAATAATAATAATTTGGCTGGAAATATCATATAAATAGATTCAATTTTGAAAATGATATTGCAAAAGAAAAACAAAAGAAGATTAAATTTTATTAAAAGAATTAATTGCCCTAATTGTATGCGAATTGAGGGAAAATTGAAAATGATGAAAAATTTTTTGTTATCGATCACTTTTTTTTGCATTTTTCAATTTGATATTAATTTGAAATTAAAATGATAATTTAATATTTAAATTATATTATATTAATTATATTATATTTAAACTTTTTTTTCTCATTATCAATCTTTGATATTTTATCAGTGATACTGAAATAAAAATCTGATGAATTTCTACGAATTTCTACGTGGAATTCATTGAAATCAGGTCTGCTAAAAAAAAATGGTCAATATTTTCGTATAGGGTCGATTTGTTAAAGCAAAGAGTTTAAAATGCATTTTAAATTGATTGCAAATATAAGATAATTATAACAGGTGGATTGATAATATTGATTTCAAATATATGATAACATGATAATTCAATGGATAAAGCAACAAATTGTATCAGATAAATTAGAATATTTATTTTTTCTCACCATACGTTTTCTTCTATCTAATTTGTGATTTGTCACTATTATTAATAATAATAATAGTAATAAATAATACTAATAATTAATAATGATTAATAAATAATAATAGCAATAATTAATAACAAAAATAGTAATAATACATATACAAGTATTTATTGTAGACATGAATGAGTACACAAGTTTATTTGTAATTTCCGTATACACATTTTTGATGCAGTGCTGGAAAAGAGGAATAATAATAATTGACAATAATTAATAATAACAATGAATACTTGTATATGTATTATTAC